TTTACATGGAGGCATAAACAAACCATGCCGCACAGCGACAGGAGTTAGTTTCTATTTTTGTCATTTTTAGGCAAAATTCTGCAGTTGTTTCATGATGACAAAACTTTCATGATGCACGCGGGTTCGATTCCCACCTGGATGGGGCCCAAAACATTTTCCGGATCCGGGTGATTAAATTTAGTCTAGTAAGGTAAATTTGTATATAGTACGTTCTAAAATTGAAAAATTTACAATCTAATTTAAGATACCTAGATATATGTTAATTTGTACGACTTGTATGGCTAAGGTTTGACTTTAATTTTACCTAATAATAAATAGCGAGGGGATCACTAAGCTATTGGCTTCGGCGTCGGGGGTCGTAGGTTCGATTTCCATACGGAACAATCAATTGTGTGACTAACAAATAATTCCGGATCGTGGTAAGGTTTATACGCGTATGCTTAAACGTAAATTACCTAGTTACCCACTTTCCCAACTTGGGAAAAATGGCAAAAGACCACCTGGTTGGTCTCCGTTGTATCCGTTGGATCCGTTGGTCTGATCAAGTGAAACTTGTTACCGGGCTCCTGATTCCACTGCCTTGAAGAAGGCCGACGACTGAGTGGTATGGAAGCAGCTCGTCGCCGATGTTCTCGTGTTGCAAATGTTAGAAAAAACAGGTTATCACTTAACATCACGTGACGCCCAGTTTGCTTGCCACCTTCCCACGTAAAAAAATATCACTAGGTATTCAGATGATTTTTTAAAAATAAAATGGTGATATTTGGTCAATGGAAATGTAGGGCGTGGGAAAAGCAGGTGAGGTGGTGTCGAACGACCTAATCTAGCGCACAATACGCTGGTAGTCTCGCTTTAAATGGTAACAGTTGGTCAGAATTGCGAATTGTACTACTCACCAACTAGATCTACGCAACCTGTTTCAAAGGTTCTATTCAGCAACTAACACAGTTAGCACTAATCAGATATATTGCGACTTTGTCGCGATTTACTACAGAACTATCAACGCACATTTTAAGCGGCCCTGATTGACTATGGGAGTCATTCTCAACATGTCTAGCTTATGTATTTTTTGTTTACAATCTATTAATAGTTACCTAATGTTTTATGGCCATGTATTATAATGTCTATGAAAAAAGTAACATTCCTCATTAGTGTTTTTGACACTAATGAGGAATGTTACTTTTTTCATAATTAATATTCTTACTGGATTTTTTTTTTGCTTTAATCACATCGCACGATTCACGTAAAATCTTAAGTCAAGTTTAAAGCGCTAATCATTAAATTAAGTGCTGTGAATAGTAAATTAAATTGGCTAAAAACTAAATGTGACAGATTGATAAACACACTTCGTAGTCTAGACGAGAAACAATTACAAAACTATTAATAATAATAATAATAATAATAATAATCTTTATTTCAGACAATACACAAAATTAAGTACATTGTCCATAGTTTGTTAGTATTAGTAAATAACATTGTGACTTAAATCTAGGTAAGTAAAGTATTATTAGTAAACATTAAGAAATTGCGTATTATTATTTTACCAGACCTATAGCAACTGCCACCCAGTGTTGCTGGAAAGGACAGTCAGGTCTGTCAGCAATCATTTTCAGAATTCTGTTGCCACTAGTACGAAGGCGCTGCAGCAAAGAGACCGCTGTTTTACGCATAATGGCGTGGAAGCCATCAGTTTGGGCGTCAGCAAACATTTTAGACGCGCTGCAGCGCCACGACAGTCCCATCAACATCCTGAAGGCGTTGTTATATTGCACTCGCAGGGAATTGAAGGTTCGGCGCGAATATGACACCCAAAGACCGCTGGAGTAGAACGAGTGACAAAATGCCTTAAATAAGGTAATCTTGACACCCGCAGTACAACGAGCGAATCTTCGGGCAATCATATTGCTCCTCACTGCCAACGCCCTGCGCTCCCTGTCTATATCATCTTCATCCCTTAGGTCGCTTGTGACAATGTGACCCAAATACTTAAAACTATTCATAATACTCAATGGTACATTGTTGAGAGATATTGATGGCACACAACGCGGCTTCTGCTTAGGAGACCGAAAAACGAGAATAACGGACTTTGCAGCATTATATTTTAAGCCGTGTTCAGTCGCATACGTCTCGCAAACGGACAGCAATGTTCTCAAACCATTTATCGATGGACTAAGCAGCACCATGTCGTCGGCGTAACTAATATTATTGACACAGGTACCATCGATGTGACAGCCAACATGAGAGCTGCTTAGCCGTTCTACAAGCTCATTAACATATAGGTTAAAAAGCACAGGCGAGGTTAAGCCGCCCTGCCTGACACCGCATTCCATTTTGTACTCGTCAGACAGCGCTTCGGCCCACCTCACCTGATTCCTCTGGTTCGCATACCAGTACTGGAGAAGGCTAATGTATTCCGCCGGTACACTCGTGCTCCCTAGCTTTTCCCAGAGCCTGTCATAAGCGACTAAATCAAACGCCTTTGTCAAGTCTAGGAAGCACGCGTACACCGACGTTCTTCTCGTCGTATAGTACTTAACAGTGTGCTTTAGGCTAAGAATGGCACTCTCAGTCGATACTCCCGCTTTAAAACCGTACTGTGCATCGTGTATACTGATATGTTCTGTTAGGAAACCGTTCAACACACTGTCAAGCACCTTGGCCGCCGTGGTAGCCAGAGAGATGGGCCGGTAGTTTTTCAGATCTGACGTATCACCTGTCTTGTTCTTAATAATGGGTACCACGATAGTCGTCATTAGCGCCGCAGGTAAATAAGAATGGCCGATGCACAGAGTTAAAAATTCAAGTTTTATTATTCTTTAACAAAAGTTCTTATGTCCAAAAACTGTTCTTGCAATTTAAAACCGGGCCATCTTATGCGTTCATTGGATGATCAGATTCTTCAGCACGCGTTTCTGCCACAAAGTTATGTATTGATCGTAAAAGGTTTTTAGCGCCATCTTGTGCAAGGATTTAAAGTAACGTAGCTTGGGAGAACTGGAACTTTCAATTACAACCTTTTGCTACCTCCTATCAGGGTAAACGGTATAGATTTATATGAATCCACACAGATGGCGCTAGGTTATGTTTCTCTAGGAAAGTATATTAAAGTAAAATATAAAAAAAAATATAATATACAATATCCAAGTTTGTATAAATGTTTTACTATTGAATGATTGCACATATTCCATTAGTAATGCACGTGGGTAATGGTTTAGAGAATAAAATACGATTAATCTTTTAATTTTATTTACTCTTAACCTTTATGTGCCTTATATTGCTACAATAACTTTTTCTGTCATTCAGGTAGAGCTAACATTGAGGTGTGCACTTTGTATATGCGGTCGCTGTGAAATCTAAAATAGATTTAAAAAGATTTTTAAAATTCAATGTCCTGATATCAAACACAGTTATTTTTTTTTTTTGGTAAATGATTATTTTTTAGCAGAAATAAACTTATTTACCATCAAAATAACGACTAACCGTGATTTTGCTCGCAATTATGTCTGTACATTGTGCAGATGTCTTTAAAGATTTTCTTAGCTCCAAGTCTAAGATCTCGCGCGCATATTGGCCCATTAGTGTTCGAGCAAGACTCAGCTCGCCAACACCAATAATCGCCAATTAATGGATGACGGTCATTCTAAATATAAATTAGAGTACACTTTAATCGAATATATTTCCTTGTAAAGTTTTTTTATATCATAATAAATCAACGTTTGAAGAGAAACACACTAAACCTTATGCATTCCGACTATCTCAGGTGCGTAGCCAACATTAAGAGATAGTCGGAATAGTTACCAGTTACCACTAAGGAGAGTGGACGTTCGTTTTTGGCTTTTGACATCGATGAACTTCCCACCTCCGATCCATAGACAAACGCCGCGTAATCTGGACAGTGTTTATTCATATTTGAGATAATAAGAATAGGAATAGGATGAATCCTAAACTGCGGAAATTTGTTGAAACCTCACGCCATCTTGTGACGTCATAGCTGTCAATTCAAACCAGTTAGGTAGGATAAGTGAAACAGATGTTGCAGGAATAATATTTATTAATAAATAAATTTTGTATTCAAAACGTGAAAACAAAGTTTTAATCGGAATTCCGCTTCAATTCCGCTCATTTCTGCATCGTTGTCCAAATAGTCATCGTATTCACCATCATCGTCACCATAGGCGTATACAGCAGGGTGGCCGGGTAGGCCATGCCCACCCCAGTATCGTCTAATGCCCACTCCAGGATTTTGGGTTACTGATTCGAAATTTAAGGCAGAAACTTCATAAAAAAATCATTGAAAACGAAAAATTATCTACAGCCGAGAAATCTATGTACATACGTAGTTTTTACTACACATACTATTTTACAATACATTCCTTTTATTTACTTATGAATACACAACGTACTAACTACTAATTAGTTAATACTACTATTGTACATTAATAAAAATTATCAACGATAACGATACATAAACAACTACGTAACTAACGTAGTTGTTTAAAATATTTCACTGATTATTATTTAACAGAAAATAGGCGTTTAATTACCTATTTTCATAATAAAATTAAAGTTATCGGTCATTTAAACGATGGAAATAGAAAAAAAAATCTTCAATATTACTTCAATAGATTTTTGTATAGATTTTTTGTATTGTATTCCGAACCCACCGGTACCGGGGATCGAACTCAGGTCGCTCTAGGAAATTGAAATGAAGGCGAGCGCCAGCACATTGAGCAATCGGATCAATTTCAATTAATTTATATAGTATAGTATAATATGGCTAATTATTTCATATGGTAAGAGAGAAACAATAATAGATTAATCAGTTTTATTAATGCAGTCGGGATTTGTTTCATTTCATAAAAAATAAGAATAGATATGTTGCTAATAATATAATTTATTCTACAAATCTAGAGAAATAATAATAAAACTATTTTTCATGATTTTAGTTTTCTTTATCTTTCTTCTCATTGACTTTAAAGACCATAGTTATTTCAGATTTATTCAGCATTCAGTGATTGTGCCTCATCATCATTATCTTTGTCGTCTATTTTATCAACGTCGTTTACTTCTGACGCATTGTTGTCCGTAATTTCATCATTGTCCCGATTGTCATTCTCTTCTATATCGTCATTATCTTTTGTGTCATCTTTGTTGATACCTTGCTCTTCATCAGCATTCACGTTTTCATCCATTACTTCTTCCTCCCGCACTTCTACTTGCACCATAGCTTCTTCTGCCAACTTATCTTCTTCATCCACCTTGTCTTCTTCTTCGATCCTGTCTTCTTCCACCTTGTCTTCTTCTTGCACATTGTCTTCTTCTTCCACATTGTCTTCTCCTTCCACCTTTTCTCCTTCTTCCACTTTGTCTTCTTCTTCCACATTGTCTTCTCCTTCCACCTTTTCTCCTTCTTCCACCTTGTCTTCTTCTTCCACCTTATCTCCTTCTTCCACCTTGTCTTCTTCTTCCTCCTTATCATCTTCCACGTTATCTTCTCGCTTTAAATCGTTATTTTTACCTTCCTCTATTTCCTTAGCATTTGTATCTTTGTTTAGAGGTTTATTGCTAGAATGTTGCTTTTCTCTCTTTTCTTTAATAGGCGGTAGAGACGCACATTTTTCATAATTAGTTTTGATAAAATCTGTAAATTATTTAATGTATTGAATTGATTCAAAAATATTTATCGAATGTTGTTAATATTGTTTGCGCGTGAGTACATTATAAAATAAAGTTCTTAACCGCTCACCAGTTCCTTTCAAACAGTTGTATTCCTTTATATCACAAGAATCGAGAAATCTGCGAAGGGTGCCCTTTGTATCGATACCACACTTTTCCACGGCGTTATGAACACAAATCTTGGCATGATAACAAGCCTGACAACGTGATAAAGCTTGATAGTAAATAAGTAATAGTTAATTAACAAATCGAAAGCATTTACTTTACATTTTATTCCGTTGTACTTATTTTACTACAATTTAGCAAATGAAGTTATATTGAATAAGTTAGCCAGTCAGCTTATTATATATTAAAATGCCAAACTAAGGCTCGGTGGCACAGTTGCTAAGCCATTGGCTTCGGTGCTGAGGGTCGTGGGTTCAATTCCCACACTGGACAAGTAATTGTGTAATCCACAGATATTTTTTCCAGATCTGGATGCTTGTTTCCAAGAAACCTTCCTTAGGAGCGAAGGTCAGACAAGCGGCCGGTCGTGAAAAAACCTAGCCACACCATTACCAACATGAATCACATGTTGTACCGACCCAAGAAATAAGAATAAGAAAACTGTCAACACAACTGGCTTAACCCAACAGAAGTTTCCGCTTGGTGAAACAATATTTTAACATTTGGTTTTAAATATTAATCTGGGGCTTTGCTCTAATATTTGTTAAAGTCTTTTCCATGAACCCGTAATAATAAGGGTTGCTAAAAAGCAGTCACTGCCTGTCACTATATTTCCTACTCCCTACTAAAAAATAAAAATTGTTTTACCCGTCCTGGTGAATCGCTAAAGCTCATGCCGATACACGTACAAACCGTCAGAACTCGAAGGCCTGAAAAAAATATTTTAATCGTTATAACTGATTGATTAAAACGCAATAATAATTTAAAGCGAATATCCGCCTCATACCGTAAGTAACAAACATATTATTAATCAACTTATAATGTTATAAAAAAGAACTTGTATTAAATTTTTAAACTGTTCCAGCGATTCCAATTCATCGCAAACTATTTGTAAATCTAGTTTATGCACTCAATAGAAAATCACCATAACTTTATACGTTCGCGATAAATCAATAATATCAGTAATAGATTTCGTAGTTAATATACTCACGTTAGTTTATAGTTATGATCTGAGTTGGATTTATCCTATGGCTGAACGGCTTTATATATTTTTTTTATGTGTAGGACTTATCCTTGATATAAATGTCGGTCAGTTGAAAAGGGAAGTAAGCAACTATTTTTGTGTGGTTATAAATGTCATATTTATTTTTGATTTTATTTTTTATGTGAAATGGCGACAAGCGCACTAGTGGTTCACCAGATGTTAAGTGATAACCGCCGATTGATATTGGCCAGGTCCGTAGGGTTGTAGATGCGTTGCCTTTTACCTTTTAATAAAGTGGGCCCGGGTAAACTGTGAACTAAAACACAGCAGTGGCGGATTCTCAACGCCCGTCATATATCTTGTTATCATCAGTAAATTTTTGTTACGATTGGCCGCCCCTAATATATAGCCGCCCTAGGCCCGGGCCTATTGGGTCTTAGGGCAAATCCGCCACTGCTCACCAGACGAAACGCAGATGTTTTGTTTAAAAGACAGGTTAAGAAGCATTATCTCTCTGTCTAGCTCCTTTCTATCTCTCGATGTCTTTCTTCTCTTTTTATTTCACTCTTACTTTGATGATCACACACAAGAGGTATGTTTTTCTTATTACTTTAATTTTTGTTGCAACTTACTTTTTACTTAATTTCACGATTGTGATATTTCTTGTACATCCTACCCAATAAGAATTTCTTTTGATTCATTTCTGAGGTTGCCTGGAAGAAATTGCTGTGTAGCAATAAGGTAGCCTTTTGATGACCAATACTAGATAAATATTTTGTTTAGTTCTGTACTTTTTTCTTTATTGGTGTACAATAAAGCATATTATTATTATTATTATTATGGGGGGATATTCATTTGTTTCCTCGTCTGGTTGGGTTTATAAATAAAAATATAGATACATATTGCATATATAAAATAAATATTATGGATAAAAATAAACATACTTCTAAAAATATTTTATATAATACATATATAAATAGGACCCAACCAGACGGAAGCCCTCGGCAGGGGAGACCAAACGGCCGAGGGTTAGGGCGATAGGGAGAGAAACCGGCGGACGATGCGGGCGGTATCGAGGAACACCGCTTTCTGCATTTGAGCTTGGAGCGATCCGTCCCGGAGTCCCAGTCGCCTCAGATGTTTGGAGAGGCTGACTGGGATTAACCCATTCGCAGACACGACTATCGGGATAATTTCGGCCGGCACACCACCCCACATGTCGGTCACCTCGTGAGCCAGGTCCAGATACTTTATCTTCTTATCTGTTTCGGCTTTCACGAGGTTCTCGTCATATGGAATGGTAATGTCGACCAAAAATACCCGCGACTGTGCCCGGTCCATCACCACGATATCAGGATTATTATTATTATTAAGTTTAACACTTCTACTCGTACTTCACGCCGGGCTTCTGTGAAGTCGTGGTATTTCCCTGCGAAGACCGTTGCTTATCCCCACCACATTAACTTATTTATTACACAGTTATTATGATGACTCCTCGGCGCGGTTGCCAAAATATCGACTTCACCGTCGGGAGTCGTGGGTTCGATTCCCACACGGAACAAATATTTGTGTGACCCACAGCTAATAGTTTCTCATCTGGGTGTTGGTTCCCGTGAAATCTATGCATGTAAAACGCCCTTACAACACATGATAATATTATCCTGAAGTAAGGGCAATTTTTACAAATATTAATTTTTGATAGGTTTCCTTTATTTTACCATTATATTTTAGAAACCACCATTCGATGCTGTTTTGGTAAATTTAAGAAGTCATATTTGTGTTAGCCTTACTTGTTAAGATGTATGCCGTTTAATTTAAAGGGTGCTTTTCAGAAAACATGCCTAGATGCGTTTGTGTGCGCTCACACAAAAGAACGTATTTGTGGCTTAAACCCTGTGACTAGAGAAGTGAGAAGATTTTTAGATCACTGTGACCTTCTGGAATTTAACTGTGAATACAAAGCATGTATGTAATTGTATTATTTAACTCCTATATTGAACATCGGAACTTAATGTTTTGGCTTCCTTATTCAATGCAAAAAATCGGAACAACAAGCAATATTGAGTTATTCCACAATCTTGACACGTATTAGTCAATATCCCTGACTATTACTATCATGTTTAAGCAAGTAACTAAAAGTGTTTCTGGTAAATTGCCCCTTACGTCAGTCTCGTCTTGAAAATTGTCAGACGGACAGGCAGACAGCGGAGTCTAAGTAATTGGGATTTTAAGCTTTGGATATGGAGCCCTACAAATCAAGTATTAGATGGAATTCTCCTTTACAGATTTCCAAATTACGAAACAACAGAAGTGCGATCATGTTCCACCGATCTAATCACAACGCGTAGCATTGTTTCATAGCTATTCACCTTTTCACGTGAAGTTTGAAGTTACCTAGTCGTTATAGGTAAGACCAACAATAGACATTATTTGTAAACATGACAGCTGCTAGACAAACCTATCGTACTGTCATTTATAAGCAACTCCTCGAAGCATCTGGTCAACGGTCGGAAAAACGGAAGAAAATGGAAAAATATACACTTGGTATGTTTTATTTACTTCATAATTTTTTTATACATTTGTCTGCAATTTACAACTAAGTTGAAAGTATTCATTCCTAAGAAGATAGTACACAAATTTCTTGTACTTTGAACAAGTACTTGTAACATCTGATACGACCAATGGATACATTTTATTGTCTGTTTTTAAATATTATAAAATTGGAATATTTTACAGATTTTTAAAAATCGTGGCCACTTTTTTCCTCAATGCTACTTTACCAATTGACATAAGACATAAGAGTAAACGCACGATATAGTGCTTAGATAGTGTTGACTATTTGAATCTCAATCGTCGCGGTTTGGACTCAATGTCTGTCTCTCAATGTTTGTGTTTTTAGTCCATAGAATATATAAAGCTTCATAATAAGCAGAGCTTGTACGAAAGGCGAGCTTTCTCCGAGCTTGATAGACCATACCAAAATAAAGTCTCGCATGTGGACATGCTTGCATTTATATAATTGAATAAAACAAGGGATGTTCGGCTACCTCCCGGGTATACGTAATTAATATTGATGGTTTTAAAAAGGTTCCCACTATTCGTGCCCCTAACCGACGAAATTCTTTTTGTCATTGTCAAGGAGCTAAGACTATGTAATGAATATCATTCTAGAACATTAATATAAATAAATTAATTTATATATTAATAGATATAATAAGAGCCGTGATAGCTCAGTGTCCATGCGCTCGGTTTTAATTCAATAATGCGAACTCAAATACCGGTTTTTTTTTATGTGAAAAGTTGTCAAGCGAGCAGGCGGTTCGCCTGATGTTAAGTGAATACCGCTGCCCATGGACATCTGCTACACCCGAGGGTTGCAGATGCGTTGACAACCTTTTGAAAATTTGTCTCCGGCTACCTCACTCACCAGACGAAACGCAAAAGTATAATACTTTCACTTTACTTCTGTGAGGTCGTGGTACTCACCCGGACGAGCCTGCCCATTCGTGCAACAGCCGAGGCTGCTGCGTGGCCCTAACACAGTTTAATTTTCCCGGTGCCAATGAAATTGTTATTTTAAAGTGCTGAATCATCACATACTCAGCGGTGAAGCAAAACATCGGAATCATGCATATTTTATAAATAATACGAAAAAAATATATCTCGAAGATATGTGAAGTCTGCCAATCCGCAGTAGGGTTGCGTGGTGGACTATGGAATAATGCCCTCTATGCAGAGGGGGACTTGCCCAGCAATTGGACTGCCAGCTGTAACTGTACTTTACTTTTAGTTTCATAGATATAATTACTATTTGTCATAATTTTCAGTTGTTCTGTTGTTGTTCTTTGTGACGTTTGCCATCGCTCATGGACCACCTATGGAGCGGGATAATGAAGACGTCGTTATGGGGCGGAAGGTAAAAAAAGTAATGTATCCGTTTGATACATTTTTAAGGAATTGACTTCAAAGTTGAAAGGGACTTTTAGAATTCCTTTATTGTCTGCATAGAGCCTAATTTTGTTAATCTTTGAAAGTCTTCCCATTTCAGGCACCTTTAGAGTTGCAAATTATTATCTGCAATGTTCATGGACTTATTTATTGTGGCATGAAAACGGTTAAATATTTTACTTTTAAAATAGATTTTATATTTGAGCTAGCTTGATCTGCACCCATGGGAAGGGAATCTAAGCAATATTTAAACCTCCTTATCAAATTTTATTAATAATTAATTTAGTTGACTTGTTTAGAGTCCACTAAATTAATTATTAATAGTAGCGGAGGCCAATTTTATCAAAAGGTGGCAACGCATCTGCAACCCAAATTGGGGTTGCAAATATCAATTGGCGGCGTTTATCACTTAGTATCAGGGAACACTGCCAGCTCGCTTACCAACTTCTCACATAAAAAAACAAAAAAAAATTTTAATCAATTTCAATATAAGTGATTTTAGTTAGAGATGACGTAGTTGTAGCTAAAAGCGAAATACTTTTAGATATAAGTCGCTAAAAGCATACATACAGATTTCATCTCAACATGTAAAGTTTATCTGTTTGTATAAGGACAGACTTCACTTACGTTCGATTTTCTTTATTTGTTCGTAAGAAATGTAATATCTACATAATATTATTTAGATAAAACACTGTACTACAATATTAAATAGTATTTAATACGCAGATAATGTAATAAATAAACACACAGCACTATCGTGGTACTGGTGCGAAAATTATATGTCGAGTATCGACTAACAGTGCTCCGAATAAATTCTTAAGTTTCTATATGGACCCAATCTTCATAAGAATTTATTTGGAGCACTGTTTATTGGTAAATTACCATATGTAATCTCATTATTCCGTACAAGAATGTAACTCGTAATTTAATTCACAGCGGTCTAATAAATAGATTACAACTGTGCTCTTTAAAAACACGAACAACGATGTAAATTTGAAATTTTCCATGCAAATTGCGTACACTCAATTTCCATGTCATTAAACTTCCAACCGTACTCCGCCGAGCGAAGTTGTTATTTGAGTTGCATTTACATTGACGTTATTCAACTCGATAAATTATCATTTAAAAATATCCTATTCCAGTACGCTTCTGGCTAAAAAAATTCTCGAAGCGTCTTCCCCAAGGATATGCGGGACGGATTTGTCTCAAAGTGTTTTCTATACATATTTGAATCAGATTCTTTTAACTTTGAACGAAATACACAGCGCTCTTGAATCTTGCAAAACGGTAACTAATTTGAATTGAAGATAGTTTCGAAAGTAACATAATTTAAATCACTATATTAATAGAAGAAAACCATACTTTATTTAATTTCCGATACCAATTAGCTCGTAACGTAGCCCTTTGATTAATTCTCGGGTATCAGTTTCTTCCTAGTAATTCGTATTTACTTTTACCTTTTACCCTCTTTTTGTGTTTGTATGTAAAACTTTCTACCGTTGCTGTAGCATAAGAATATCTTGTTTTGTAAGGACGTTTTACTTACACAGATTACACGTCGACCAAAATCCAGATACCCGGTTGGAACGGAACTGTCAGCGTGTCGGTACTGTGTTCAAAACAGTATTTTCAATTTTTTAACGACGAAACAAATTTGTTTATACATGAAATTTCGATTTATAACAATTTTTTTTGTGTTCATGAACCTTATAAATGAAACTAATTTTACGGATTTATCGCGTTTATTTTTAATTTTCATTCCCGACGTTTCGAATCCTTAAACGCGATAAATCCGTAAAATTAGTTTCATTTATAATGTGTAATCGCGTAAATACAAGAAATTATTCATAAACCTTATTATATTCAGATCACACAAATATTTATCCTATGTGGTAAATAAAGCCACGATTGCAAGCGCCCAAGCTATAAGTGTATTCACTACAGCAGTGGTTGATTTAATTTCATCCGGGATAAGCACACACTCCAAAGGTAAACAAAAATGGCTTTCTTTAGATGGGAGCCAAATGGTGCAGTATGGCGAAGGTATGCAACCATGACCGCGTGCCGGTGTGTGGAGTCAGCCACGCCGGTGACATCATGGGCTTCCGTGACCTCTGTGACATGTTCGACTTCAACTGCATCAGACGTCGCAGTTAGTATATCAGTTACAAAACTTGCAGCAAACCATTAAATTATTAATTATCTACTAGTGACAAAACAAAGATATATCAAGTCTAATAGTCAAAATGTTATATTTCGCATAAGTGTAATTTTTTTGGTAGCAAACGAGCAGGTGGTTGACCTGATTTAAGTGATAAATGCCACCCATTGACGTTTGCGACAATCGTAGAGCTGCAGAGGCATTGCCACCTTTTAAAAATTAGCTACCTCGCTCACCAGACGAAACGCAGAAGTATAACACTTCGATTTCTGTAGACTGTTTTCAAATGGTAAAATTTGGCATTTTCCTTGCTTCATAATGCAAATCTTGGTTATGGTTTAAGTTTAAAATTATTTACTAGTTCATCGGAAGGATTAAAGTCAATTACATAATTTGCTTAAGATGCTTATTTAACATTAGGAGGAACTTTCATGATCATCTAAGTTTAGATTAAGATGTTCATGGAAGACATATTACGCTTACATTACAACGAATGTCTTCTTTGGGCAATATGGCGTAAAAAAAGTCAACGTCTGAATTTCAATAGGCTTTATCAAATACGAAGTAAAAGGGAGGTTTGTTTTTATATGTTAATGTATAATTATTTCAGATTATAAACAGACAACATGCCCGGAGGACAAATCTGTGCTCAGCGTATCACGACGGCCCACAAACAGTTACTACGACGATTAACCGTGTCAAATGAAATTTATTTTCTATGTCATATTAAATGACCAACATAATTATAATAAACAGTTTTTTTGCAGTTTTAAAATGTATTCATTATTTTTATAACACTATATAAGCTACTCTGTATATTAACTGTTATGTTTATTAGGAGAATATGAAATTATTTAAATAAATTGTATCGTTTAAATTTAGTTGTTTGATTCCCGATGACCCGTTCCATATACATATTTAAAAAGAAAAAATTAATTCAATTATGAAAATTTGTAAATCATACTGTCATATTTTTTATAAATTCTTGTACATACATACATATCCGTACATATTTTTGCACCGTTCGGTTTATGTATATATACGATATATATTTATTCAGAGACATTACATGGGATGAGCAACACACTTTTTAGGTGTTCTATCCATACAATACATTCCTCCTATACTTAATTTTCCCAGTCACTTGTCACTTAATCCATTACATATCACAACATGTTACAATAAAAAGCATTAATATAAAATCCTTTTAAGGATATATGTACCTATATATAATAACACTTGATGCATATTTTAAAGAACAAAAATTAAATATTAACCTCTTACCCCCGTTTAGTACTTATTAAATAAAATTATTGAACCAAACAAAAGGTTGTATGTTTTCATAGACAAAATCTGTTGAACTCACCAAAAGGAGGCAAGGAAAAAAAATCTTTTTAATTTATTATCTAACTGTTTCCATAAATGATGGAAAATGTATGACACAATATTATGGATATAATAAGGAAATTATTGTGTAATGTTTTCATTCCTACCAATAAACTTCCGGAAATCATGTTGTACCAACTTATACGCTATTACTGTCTATCGGCTACCAAAGTTCGACGAAAAGACACTTCACTTTAAAAGGGACCATTGTTATTTAAATTCGAATCATGCATATGTTATCTACATTTCTAACTGTTAGTTTTTTAGTAACAGTTCTACAGTCGCATCTTGTTGGGGACCGGACTCATGTGGTAAGTATAAAAGTTAGCACATTGTTTGATAAAAATTTGAACAACAATATTTTTCTGGGTTGTTAAAAATCCTTACTGAAGCATTACTAGAAAATTCCATAAATATAACTTTTCGAATAAAACTTATCTTTGTTTATCACAATTCTTATTATTAACAAGAATTAATGTCATTTGTATTGCTAAAAAATATAAAGAACCACAAGGCAGTCTAGATATTCTTGAAACTGAGGTAAAGTTATATAATAATAATACTTATATATAAAAACCGACCTCTGATTAGTAAGTAAAAAAATTTATAACCACATGTCCCTGATTAACACAGTAGGGTTATGATTATACTAAAGTGATAAAATAAACGATTGTCATTACACTTTATAAGTTTATTAACTCATGGTGGTTGTGACAAAAGAATGTTAGGTAATCTTTTCTAAATAGCATTGTTGTATTAATTAAAAAAATTTCAGGCTGAATTGAAGAAACTCTGTGACCATGCTTACACGTGTTTTCATGACACGGTAATAATTTGCGGAAAATCTGTCAACGAAGCGAGAACGTTCCTAGATCTGTGCGACATGTACGAATTTTCCTGTGAATATAGCATGGGTGAGGAATCATTCATATTTTGACAAAAATATTCACCATGTTTTTAATCAAATCTTAAAAAGGCACTTCAACTCAAATAACACAAAATATATTGAGATTGAATTTAATTAAAAGTTTTTTTATAAATAGTTTTCAGGCATGTTAAAGAAGATGAAGGTGTGTGTCCAAATCCAAAGGAATTGGGACCTGGGGTTGGATAATTTAATTTTTAATAATTTTTTTAATTGTCATAAATTATTATTCACGCATTATTTATTCTCGATCATATCACTGGCCGGCAAGAAGGCACAAGAGCAAAATCTGAAAAGAAAAGTAAAGAAATAAAAGTTTCTTATGAAACATCAACAATAATAGCACAATAATAATCCATAGAATTTAAAAAGTACTTACTGTACTTCCAATAACAATTAACCTGAAGCATGTGACAGATATCATCGAATTTCCCATAACCAAAATTATCATCATAACCACAGACAGGAGAATACGTTCTATGACATAGTATAGCAACGGAACACCATGGGCTGATCTTATTGTTCGGCTGATCTACCAATGAGACTGGCTTAGAGGAGAAGGATCTTCGTGACGTTATCTGAAAATAAAAAAATATCTTACGTGCAGAAATTGTAATATGAGCTATTATGAATAACCAAAAATATTACTTGTTATACTAACTTATTCACTTATTAATTTCTTCACATAAAAAATATGCTCTATTAATAACAATTAGTAGATAAATGATGATTAAAACGAGTAGAAAATAGAAATGTTAGTAGGAACCAAGAAAAAAGCAATTAAGGAGAATAGATTTATTGATACAAAAAGCTGAACAGAAGCGTTCACGGCGTGAATCTCAATTATTATATTTTAAGTAGATTCTTTATCCACAATGGAAGTTGCTTCGGTATCGTTTTTAATTTCGTTCAATAGGATATTTCCAACCAACATTCCATATTTTGTCATGTTTTTCCCAATTCTCGCTACTGGATGATCGGGTTGCTCATCCTCTGTATCAATAGTTCTACGCTGATGATGTACCTCTATCTTTTGGGGCAACATTGGCTTCTCAACACGGTTGCTCAAGTTTTCGAGCAACTGTCTAGTCGTTTCTTCGTTCGCTTGCACCAATTTTACTAGATGCTCCAACGCTTGCGTGTGTTGAATTAATTTATCTTCAACGAATTCTTTAAACTGAACAGAACTCTTTGCCTTAGGAGAATCGGTATCACTTATTTCGCGTTTTCGAATTTTCTGGCAAAACAATGGAAAAATCTCATGCTTAGGAAGATATGTCAAATTTATGGAGCGTTTAAAAATATTTGCTTACCGTTGCGGGTTCAACAGCATAGACTAAGACATCTTCCAATCGTTCTATTTGAATTGAACTTATAATAAGTGTTAAACCAACAGCCACTGAAATAATTTAAATTTGAACATTAAATAATAGTAAATGCAAAGGTATTTAATTTTTCCCGCTAAATAAAATCCTACCAAAAGTTAGTAGCCTCATAGTGTCCGCACACTATTTGGGACGTTCTTCAATTAGGTTATTTTGTATGGTAAGTGCAACTTATAGCGTACATAATTGTTTACTACTGAAAGCGATTTTGATATTTGACTTTGTATTGATTTTAAATATATCTATGTTTTAAAAATGTATTCTGCTTCTTATATACTCTAAGTGTAAATTTATTGTTAATAATCTAGGTAACATGTAACTTTAATAACATAAGCAACTGACACTGAAACTTTGTACCTACTTCAATTAATTGCCGATTTAAACCAAGTTTTATTACTTATTAGAATATATTGCATATATGTTGTGGCTAGTAGACTGACTTCATCTTGTTTCAGATGAAGCTTTAATAGTCTCTGGACTGAAAGCAAAAACATCAGTTAAGTATTGCTTAAAATTGGTATGCAAATCAACAATAAGTAGAAATGCTCACATTAAAATAAAGCGTGTATTATATACTAAAAATTAATCTTGTTTCTTAAAGTGTAATTTAAAACATAACTTAATGTATTTATTTTTTAAATAGAAAGCTGGGGAAAGGTCAACATGAATTAAGTTGAATTCAGTAGACGTTTAACTGTTTCAGCGATATTAAATTTTGCGTGGGAAGCTTATATTATTTTTCATTCATTTTGTTTGACGTAGATATTCATCGTAGCGTTAATAAATTGGTTTATACTTTTAAGTGCTATTCGTGAAAACATTCTTATAATTATATCTTAATTGTATATTTTATCTAAATTTATCTGAATTTCATATCTGATATGCTCTCAGATTTCACTAAATCATAAATTTCTCACCAGCATGATGCTTCGGTTAGTTAATTAATTTCTTTTGGCGCAAGGATTTAAGAATGGCTTTTGAAAAAAGAAAATGATGAATGAAGAGTCAAAAGCCCCGAGCTCAATGGTGGAGGGAAACCTTTATATATATTAATACCAAGACAATATTGTATTCTTTCATAAGACTATAAAAAGCGAGCAGCCGGCTCACTTGATCCTAAGTGATTACCGCCACTCATGGACATATACAACACCTATAAGATTGTAGATGCTGCTTAAGGGGCGTCTAATAAGTCCGTGAGGATATGGCCGAATCTCACCCAATCTCACCCAATCTCACCAAATATCACGTAATTTCTTTGTCACAAATATTGTGTAAGTGCGAAAAAATTGAGTTCAATTAAGTAAAAATTTGTCTCCAATGAAATATGACTCAATCATGTATAAAAAGTTATTAAGCTTACACAAACGATACAAAATCGGCAAAACGCTACGGCGTACGAGGCGAGTTGCAGCAACGCATGGCATGACCACAGGTTCTCCGAAATGGTAAACTCGGCTTCTTGTGGTCAGCGACTATGATGATGAAGTCACATCGAACTCCACACCATCCGCACGTCACACTCCAATATAAGACATTATGAAAGAAAAGATTGCTAAACGGCGCTGCGTGTAGAACTAGATTTGACGGAAAGGCGCAAAGAAATTCTCGTCTCTGAATTAAATAAAAATAATTAAGCCAATTACGTTTTCTGTTAAATAAATCCAACGCCATCAAGCATAGATTAACTTACTTACATTAAAATACGCATTTTAAAAAACCTCACGTGAATTTAGGGGAGGGGGTCGAGCGCAATCTCAGGACATCTCACCAAGGGGAGAGTGGGAGTTGAAAAATCAACTCACTTAATGGACGCCTCCTTACCCACCAGACAAAACGCAAAAGTTTAATACTTCTATTTCAGTCTTCTGCCTGGTACTTTCTCGGAAAATTTTGCCCGTAATTCGTGTAACAGCACAGACACAATCAATATACAGTTGAAAATTGTAAAAAGTAAGCTTAAATGAACTTACAAAGTATCAAGACGTGATAGTCCAGTATAAACGCCGCAGATGATTTATTAAGCGCTCAGTGATTGAATTACGAACGTTGATACGCCCCTTTGTTAATAAACTGTTCGATTGGTCCCATCATGTTTGCAATGCTTCATTAAAACGAGTCCGATAAATATTTGTTGGAATTTATTCAATATCGTTAACCAAAAGTTATTGCTATTTAAAAGAATAAATAATGTAAGCTATTTAAATATAAAAGTTATTTTAATACAACGCAAAAGTCTAATGCTTTTAATATAAAAGTTATTTTAAAACAACGCAAAAATCTAAAGTTTTGATTAATAAGTGGGATCTTTTGATTTTATGAAAAATATTTATTTTTAGATCATTTTAAAGGGATAATTGAGCATTATTAACTTAATTTTCACTAACCTTACAAGAATTTGATGGATTTATCTGAGAATTTTATCGAAGTTATGTCTTCTTAATTAAATACAATTTTTTGTATGGCGGAAAATCCTTCAAAGAAAGCCGATCTCTTAACAAAACTACCTCAAATTGACTAGACGGATCTGGGGTGTGCCGACGGATATTGAGCAAAAACCCCGGAAATTACTCGGTCATCGTAAGTATAAACCAGGACAATGGGATATTGTGTTCTAAATAATAATAAAAAATACGAAAAGAATATGTTGTTCAAAAAATTGTAATAAAACTATTGTAATCTTTAAGTGCCATTTGCAACTCATGACTATTTGTTTATTATAAATTTTATGTTCAAACACGTCAAGTGTGGCGGGCAATCGAATTTCGATTTTTGCGTCATAAAACATTTCGTAGAGTTTACGACACAGTGAAGATTGCGCCGAATTTTTTCCATTTTGTAACATTTAGCTATTGTGAGCAAGATTTTACAGATTATGTGACTAAAAAACATGGAATACAATTTTATGTGATGATGACGACACTATGTTCATTCTACTTAGTAAGTAATATAATACCAGATAATGTTAAACTTAAACATTTTTAACTCCACTTCAAACGGAGGAGCTCAGCACAAGAAAAAAAGGAAAATTTTATAGGAAAAGGCCAGTTCTCTTCAAATTTAATTACACTTCAAAAATTAACAGTTCTGAAACATCTCGAACCAATAAAATTAGTATTTAATTAATATTAAAATTAATTAGTTTTAGATTATTGAATTATTGTTGCGTATAATTATATCTTAATACAAATTTTCTTTAATTTTAGTTCTATTGCTGTACGCATCTGACGCAAAAGGACACAGTGAATCAATAAAGGTAGTTTAATGTGATACAAAATAATACATTGTTTAATAAAACTTTGGTAACACATTGTTTATGGTCAATATTGGTAAACGTCAAGACTGGTCTACTGATTCCCTATGTAAGAAAGTAGAAAAAAGTACGATTAAGTTACATTTAAAAAATCTCATTCACATTTAATATGTCTCACATAGACCGTAGTTGTAACCTGATTAAATTAAATCAACACTTTATAACAGCCTGCCCATTCGTGCAACAGTCTCTGCTGTTGCACAAATGGGCAGGTCCGTCTCGGCTACCTACCACGACCTCACAAAAGAACGGCTTGAATTGGAAATGTTATACTTCCGCGTGTCGTCTGGTGAGTGAGATAGCTGGGGCCCACTTTATTAAAAGGTGAATTCATCTGTAACCCTAGGGGTGTTGCTAATGTCAATAGGTGGTTACAACTTAACGTCAGGTGGACAGCTCTCTTGCCACCTTCTCACATAAAAAAATATGCTGTTTTTGATGTGGTTCCCTGTAAAAGGGTAACCTTCACATCGTGAATAGAATGCTGTTCTGATAAAAATCCTTTGTTGCAATTTTAATGATTATCTACCCTGAATGAGTGCATTTCCATAGAACGAAGAGGAGTGCAAGATTGCGGATCTCTGCGTCCACGACAAAGTGCCCATGTGCGGAATAGACTCTTGCGGCGAAATGAGGACATTCATCGACACGTGTGACATGCACGAGTTCAATTGCGATAGCAAAAAAGGTATTTTCAGTATCTCTTTCACAGTAGTGGCCTAAACTATAATATTATAAATGTGAATGTAAGTTTGTTTGTAAAGCGTTCACGCCAAAACTATTATCACACGATTATCATGAAACATTGTACACATAATCTTAGAGGTATTAAAAAAACCCCAAAACAAAAAGATGTTTTGAAATTACTCTTGCCCTGCACTTGCAAGTCCCCTGGCTCGTGCTAATTTTATACTTAAATACTTTTGTGTAGTTCCAAAAAAAACAAGAAAGATAAGACCGCAGAGTTTCTTGCTGGTTATTCTCTGGACAGGTTTAGTTTAGTGAACTGGTGGTAGTATTTTAATGTTCAATAAGAGCTTAGAAAAAGCCTACATTGAATAAAGAAGTTTTAACTTTGATTTTGGCTCGGCTTTTAGAAAGAATACAAAAAAAAGTCCTCAATGCAAGATCAGAAGCGGCCTCATTACTCTTCTTGTGTTTACTTTTCTCATGCCATATTAAGTAAGATCACTACAATACTATTATAGATAAGAAATAAATTCTTTTTCAGATTTCAAACAGCGGCCTATCCACGAATGTTGGGTAACGTGTAAAAGGGGCCGATCCTTCAAAAAGCCAGAATATCGCACGGACTGCAACCTTAATCTGAAATCAAACAGACTATAGTAAATCTGTAGCAATGTTTTATTTGATACTAAACTTACAAACAATTCCTAAATTCATCATATCCGTTTTTTTATGTATACCTATAAACAGACAAACTTGACATACATACAACTGTGTACAATACATACAATTGTGTACAATTGTATGTATTGTACAAGTGTCGTGTATAAATTTAAATCAAAAACAAACAGATCTAGTAAGGCGCAGAAAAAGAAACAGAGAAAGCTTGGTGAAATGTCTCACGTACAAATGTGAATTGTGTACAACAACAAATCATGAATAATAAATATCACATCTACACGTATTTCATTGTAAACAGATTTTGGAATTAAGCATTTTTCAATATAAGTATGAGAAAAAATACCCAATCGCCTTAAGTGGTTTTTATTATGTTGGTAATTATTATGTCCAAGTTTGCCCTTTTGTGTCAAAGTGTAGCAAAGAATTTAATTTCAATAAAATTAATGGCCATATACGAAACAAAACACATTAATTTAGATTAATAAATAGTGTTCAGAAGCTGAGGCCAACTAAACCGCGCTATCACTCGCGTAGAAAACGATTTCGGGTAACAGACGAGACAAAGTATACAAATAGTATTTATCTTAAATCAAAGACAATGTAAAAAAATATGTTTTCTTTTTTTGGTTTGACTAAATAAAAGAAAAGAGACAGAATTATCAATAGCAGTTACTATTCGAATGTTTATAAAGGCGAGGTCAGTTAATCATGCAGGCATTAAAAGAAATATTTTTGGCCGTTCAAGTAAGAAAAAAATATTCCGAGTTAAAAATTCAATAACCATCCACAAATAAAATGACCAGTTATGGACATAAAACGTGAAAAGTTAAAACCGATGATTCACTTGCTATATTTTCCATAACATTGTTTTGACTCAACGACATGCAACATGAGAAATATTCTTAAAATGTGAATTAGAATTTTACAGCTTTGTAGAATATGTTCAGAGTAATTTTTTTTGGAGGCATAATGTTATTTTTATTGCGGTGTTGTAACGGCCATGTCGACAGCGCAAAGGTAATTTTATTTCATGTATTTTAAAAAAGTCAAAAAGACAAAAGTAAACTTTTGTCTTTTTTTATGTGGGATAGCAAGCTATCTCACTGACCTTCTGTGAGGTCGTGGTACTTACGATCTGCCCATTCGTGAAACAGCGAAGTTTTTGTTATGCGGCCCCACAGTGAAAAGTTAACTTATATTTGTGATCAATCTACACATACAGGTAAAATCTACGAGTGTAAAGAAAGTCTTTGAACTGAATGAAGTGGGTGGAAAGGTTGTAGGAGGGACAGCTTATTGGAATAACTTAGAGAAAATACTTTTCGAGTTTTATTCTCTAAAGAAAACGTGCTTGAAAACTTAAACCTTCTGAATCAACAAGTATAATGTTATTTACATATTGATGTAAAAAATAAAATCATAGAGGTCTGCGGTAGTGCGCGCATTTAATTATTTCAAGTTTTATTTACTAGACAATTGACCCTTAGGGCCCTATTACTAAGACTCCGTTGTCTGTCTCTCGGTCAGTCCATCTATCTGTCTGTCTGTCTGTCCATCTTTCACCAGGCTGTACAGTTGAAAGATTGTGATAACATCATTTAATATAAAGCTATTAAAGTTTTAAACACGAAGATTTTTCAACGATTTTTATAAGCACTACGTGTTCAGCAATACGTGTTCTCTTGTGGCGATAGATAAAATACATAAATGTAGTAAAAAACAAATTGCAGACAAATTTGCAGAAATCTATTACTTGTAAATATAATACAACAAAATTCACTTTGTTTTCTCGTTGTACGAATTCTAAAAATATCCACGAGCACAGTGCATGCTCTGACCTATATCTCCGGCTTATGTGTGCTTTTCTCTAGACTTGGATTTAAAAACAGATTATATAATGTTCACTATGTAACTATCGTAGATGGTTTTAACGGATTATGTAATGTTGTTAGCAAAATAGCGAATATCCAAAAGTCTCTCTCAATATCTTTGAATGGCCAGATCTGGCTAGGTATATTTTCAGTAATTTATTCCAGTAACTACGCTGTCGTTTAGGTATATTTCTTTTGCAAGTAGTTTTCCCTTTTTTTTCTCTTAACATTTTAACTATTTGCATTTTATATTTATTATGTACAAAAATACACTCCAACTACGTAGCTACAATATTATAACATTTTATCTAGTTGATATCTTGAAATATACTGTATCCATTATTTACTCTATAAAATGACAAAGTTGAATTTTGATCGGGCTCTGAACAATATCACGTATCCTTATGTATAAAAGAATAGATAAATGGGGCTACCCTTATGCTATTCTTAATCTGACAAGACAAATTAATTAATCATCAATCTACGCTATGTATGCAATATTGAAAATAAACAGCTGCTAAAATCAATTGCTTTTTACTCCTTTTATCAAAATAAAAATTCTGAAAAACTCGTATAACGACATTCAGTTGAAAATTCTAACGAACGGCCTGATGTGACGTGCCAAAAGATGAATTTCAGATTTCCGAAAGCGGGTTAAGTGAGCTTACGGACTGGGCGTCTTTTGTCTCCGCTTTGATCCACTTCCGCTGTTAGTGTTTAAATCCACAGAAAACCGGTAACAAGAAAGGAGCAGTAGGCTTTGTTGTCTACTCGTAAGAGTTGTATTCTTCATTTTTGTCCACACAGCACGGTGACATTAAGAAAACTTAAGTCGCTGGAAACATCTACGATTTTTTCAAAATTTATAAAAAATACGGTACGGTTCTAAAAGAATTCGCTTTAAGTAAAAACTTTATGTTACAACAATGTCTTATAATTATAATTTCGGGTATCGTAAGTTGTTAATATCATCTGGAGACTAAATATCGTAACTTTTGTCGATTACGTTTGTGTTTTGTTTAAAAAGACATCAAAAGTAAGGTAAGTAAAAACAATAACAAAAAAATAGAGCTATATAGAGGATAAAAATAGTTCATACTTTTTAATTAGAAGAATCACATCAGTGCTACACCCTAACCTTCAGAAATATGAAAGATAAGACAAGATAAGATAAGATAATCATTTATTGTCTTAACTGTGTACAATAGGTGTTACATACAAAAGCTGCTACAACTAAAAATAATACGGTATCAAAATCAAGATGCTGAAAAAAAAGTACCTACAATACTTTTTTTTGCTTTTCAATTTATTTATAATAAATCATTATTCTTTAATTTGACGCCAGCTGGAAGAGGAATGCAAAATAGCGGACATCTGCCGCCATGATCAGGTGCCGATGTGCGGAATAGATTCGTGTGGAGAAATGAGGACCTTCATAGACACGTGCGACATGCACGAATTCAACTGCGATAGCAAGAAAGGTATACAATAAAGTAACGTTAACTTAAAGAAATTATAACTAGGCACATGGCGGTAGACTATTATTATCTGTGTCTAATTATCCACATAGTCATAACTACGAAACTTACTATTAGTCGTGTGCTCAAATTCCCTAGTGTTATCGCAAAATTTTTTGTGCGAATTTGGCAAGTGAGATGTCGGTTCACCTGATGTTATGAGATAACCGCCGCCCATTGATATTTGAAACATCCGTGGAGTTGCAGATGCTTTGCTACTATTTTAATAAAATGGATCCTAAAATGGGTTACTCACGAGGTCATGGCTGGAACAGGATGGGCCTACCCATTCGTGCAACAGAAGAAATTGTTGTGTGGCCCTACCACTTTTAAGAATAATGAAATTCATGAAAGATATAAGTCAAAGTCAAATATCTTTATTCAATATAGAAGCATTCACTTACTTATTGATAGTCAAAAAACTCTACCACCGGTTCGGAAGGTAAGCCACTGACCTGAGAAGAACCGGCGTAAGAAACTCAGCGGGACATTATTTTTTTGTACTTGCCAAAAAAATTACAAATATGTGTACAATTATTAAACTCGATCAATTCATTTCCAGAGTGTGTTATCATTCATATAATCACTAATACTATAATAGCCATTAACACACAAACGTTCCTTTACAAGTTTTTTGAATTTAGCAACGGATTCATTTTGAACGTTTTCTGGGATTTTGTTGTAAAAGCGTATACATATTAATACTACTAAAATATTTACTTATTCTACGCAATCTAGTTGAGGGTAGAACTAATTTATGCTTGTTCCTAGTATTTACATCATGCACATTACTATCTTGAAAAGTCATTCTTATTTTTGTGGACATACATAACATTAGCAAGTATGTACTGAGAAGCTACAGTCAATATTTTTATTTCTTTAAACAGGTTTCTTAGTGAGTCTTTGGGGCCCAGGTTATAAACCGCTCGAATAGCTCTCTTTTGCAGGATGAAAATAGTATTTATGTCGGCTGCATTTCCCCAAAGTAGAATGCCATAAGACATTATACTGTGGAAATAGCTAAAATATACCAGACGAGCCGTATCCACATCAGTCAACTGTCTAATTTTTTTGACTGCAAAGACTGCTGAGCTAAGTCTACTCGACAGTTTATTAATATGGGGGCCCCACTGCAATTTGGCATCTACGGTTATGCCAAGAAATACAGTCGAGTCATAAAGATACTAATATGAATATTAGTACACAAAAGACATCTATTTTCGTTTACAAATCTTCAATAGAAAACGTGATAGATAATGACCACGCCCTAGTTATATAAGGAACCGTATTCACTACGACTGTTTTGTACGAAACTGGCGTAGTACTGTTTTCAAAGTTTAACGTAATTCTACGGCTAAAAACTACAGATTTAAGAAAATAATTACATATATCTGTTATGCTAATTCGTTTCATGTGATCCTGCTTTGAAATTCTTCGTGTTTTCTTAATTGAATATAACTAATATTTTACTTATAATTTACCTTATTGACATTCCTATTCAACTTGAATTATCAACAACATAAAATTCATTGCAAATTTATCTTGTCATCGGATCCAAACAAAATGGACTTTTTATTTGCTTCACGGACCACTTTTTTTGATAGGCAAGGGTCTTACCAAAAAAGTGGTCTTGCCGTGTATAAATCTGATATCCAAATTTTATATGGACATATACAACTCATAAACAGAACATTTGAAATTTTATCTACACTTAAAGTCAAAGTTGATTAACAAGTGAAACAATTCTGACAACTTAAGCAATTACAAATCCCCTATGACTGTAGCCTACTGACTAAGTGCTTCTAATAAATGAAGCCCGGCTTAACCAATTATAGCAGATCCATGGCAACACAATAGACTAATGTAAACGTACCCTGCACAAAGCTCATTTTGTACTGGGTAACATTACGCCCACACTTTCTACGTAAAATAACGCGCAGTCAATACAAACAAGGGCAGTACTAAAGAATCTACGAACCTTCGTACCGCCTTTAGGAAAATTCCCATTCACTTGGACAAATTTTTTTGTTCATACGTACAAATGTTTAAGCAAATACACTTCTTATTTAAGCAAAATCATTCCTGTTTTATATTTTAAAACCTAGAAGGTTTGATAAAACATATACAATGACTTCAGTAACTGTAATGAACTGTTCATTCGCTTAATAATATAAATTAATGGTTGTTTTTAATGAATTCACAAAAACTATTTAAGTTAATTCGACTTTTGCCAACTGCTGTTTACGCAGTAAAGGTTTCCTAAAAGAAATTACTACTAATTTTAATTTTTAGAATTATTTGATTTGATTTAATTATAAATATTTTTAATTATTATTGAACTATTATGTAATTAGAAATATTTAATTAATTTAATTTTTAGAAATTACTACTAATAAGGCCGACCGTTGTACCAATCATTTCTACAATAAGTTTTTGGTTCGTATTTATTTTATTTTGGTGTATAATAAAGTATATTCATTCATTCATTCATTCATTCACAAGTACCATTATTCTAAGTACCGCACTTCTTTGACTCATACGACACTTCCGATCCTTAGATTTCATTCAAAAACCAGTCCACGAATGCTGGGTGACGTGCAAACGCGGAAGGAGCTTCAAGAAACCGCTGTATGGGGCTGATTGCGATAAGGAAAACTTCGTGTAGCAACGTTTGGAAAACAATATTGTTTTATTAAATAAATTAACGAAACAGTAACTTACAATACGCACTTATTGCTTCGAGATCACAGTACACGTACACAGCTTACGAAAATGTTATAAATAGCTTATGATTATATTCAACCATACCTTATCGTAGAATTAATTATAATATAATATACATTCAGATTAATATACATAATAAATTTTATTTAGCAATCTTTAAACGTTAGAATAAAACGAGACTTAAAAATAACTTATGACTTAGGATTTAGACGAACGATATAAAAATTGATAACATACAAACTCCTATTAAATGAAGTCGATTTCTGTAAATGTTGTATATGGGAGCAAACACGCGCTCACTCGTCCTTAAACTTAACAGCTAACAAGTACTAAGGTATACAAGGTGACGTTATTAAGTAACATTAGCATGTTTATCTACAATGCATATACATTAATTAAATAAAATATCCGCTTTTCCCGTGATAAACTGAATGTAATAATACATTTAATATTAACATACATTATTTGAAATAAATTATTTTTCTATAAACTGTATAAACCTTTAACCTTAAACCTAATATCGAATATAAATTAGACAAAATAACATTTGCTATTTCAAAAAACGTACCATGAACGATCATCGTAATTTACATTTACCTTTAAAGCAAACACAAAATGTATCTTTAATAATTTTAGTTCATTTATCGTTGGCATTTGTTTATCAATTCGAAATATATACCTAATGCCTGTCCAAGAATCCCGCGTTTTTAACGATGCTATAGATTTTCTCGCGCGGTATCTTCTCCGCCTCTCTTTCCACCACCTGCATCTCCTTGTTGGTGAACCACGACTCTTTAGCTAGTCCCGCCGCGACGGCCGGATTGTCGTAGAAGCTTCTGGATTTCAGTAGTTCGGGAGGGAGCAGGGCCTCGCTGGCTGAGTTCAGCTCAACCGCTGGATGGGGCTGGACCGCCGGCGCCGAGGGATGGGCGTATTGGATGCCGATCGGTTGCAAGGGCTGTGTGAAAATCAAGCCCGGCCTCGCTTCGGTCACGGCCAACATGACAGCAATGATGCACAGGCAACGCATTTTGATCTGTAAGCGATAGAATTTAGTTGCATTATATAATGTGGATTCATTGTAGATAAATTGACAAAAACCTTCGGCGCTGCGGGATTCGAACCTGCGTCGTCCGATATCTCTATTAGATTTCGACATCCCAGACGCTTTATAAACCTTAAAATCATATTTTAAGTTTTCGTCTTGAGTACAGAGATTAGCACTTAAAGTAAAAATTAAATAAAATGCATAATATAATCTTCATGTTTATGAATTTCTCTTTCTATAATTGGACTACAAAGATAACAAACATCCACAAACAAACACTCACACCCGTCGCTCAGAAGGCAGACGTAGGTTACGAATTGCGACTCTCCACGACCCTTGCAAGCTTTTAGCTACATGTATGGAAATATCCATAGACACCTTCATGCGCATGTTACGATCAAATGACATAGTTCCGTCTGGACTACCTAATTATTATAAAGTGTACAAATCTTATTAAGTAATCATTGTTCAATAAGATTGCAAGGAACGTAATTAATCTTGTTCCCTCTTAAAATGTTTTCTTTTCTCTGTAAAATCGTATTTTTTAGTAATAATACTTTCTAATATTATTTTATTCGAATACTGGTCATGTAGCGCCATCTTGTAAAGTTTTATGTTATCAGTAAACTATGTTAGTTAACCACTATTGGTTGTCTATACAAACCGCAAAAATTTACGAGATGGCGCTCTGGTCATTTGTAATGAAGGAGTATATATATATTTTTTGTACAGAGTCTCTTTTTTCAAGAAAGCCCCTTCACAAAGCATATATGAAGTTTATGATAAGTAAAAGAATTCTTCGTTTAAAGTTAAAAAATGTAACGAAAATAACAATTAAAGATAGAAATGGATCCCTATGATATGTAATAAAATATGCATTGTAAGCGATTTATATAATAACGTGGTATATGTACATTTATTTTAAACTTGCATGCTGCATGTCGTCATGAAAATATTAATATTTTTAGTATTTTGCAACCACGTATTTTCAGGTATGAGTTACACTAAGACATGTTTCTTTACAGGAGAGAGAAGAAACATGTAAAATAGAAACGTGTAGCTCGTTACTCTACGTGGTAATAATAGTGGAATATTCACTTATGTATATTTTTAGAAGTATTTCTAATATTAATTGAACGAAAATGGAATAATAAGCTAACAAAATCAATTTTAAAGCATTTCCCTCACTGTTATATATAAGATGAACTTCAAAACACTCCCACATCCGACACTATTTGTAAACCATACCAACTACCGACAAGTGGGTTTCGAACCCACGCTCCGCGGCGTCACGGCGCACCTTTCTCTACTAACCTATTATTATTCTTATTCGCACTCAACAATAAATGAGCCTTAAAATGTCAGTCTGGTCTTTTATCCATCGACTTAAAAGATATACATACATACATTCACTTTAAACTCCACCAAGTCATACGCGAACCGAATGTTAACAAGAAAGAAACATCCGAGACTACACACGTGGAACCGAGACAACGACACTCCAATCAAAATGTACCCAACTACTCACGTTTGTTCACAAGTCGCCGGTTTGTCAACGCAGCGCGGTACTGACTGCGCGGGCGCATTCAACGCAGTCTATTTAAACGAGCACTACATCGTGGTAACCTTAGCACGGCTTCCGGGATCAGTACGCCGGCCATTCCGCTTAGACGAAACCGACCCATTAAGGAAGCTCGTTAAAGACAAATAAAGAAAAAATTCAAAAACTTTAAGAAAAAATTACAAATATAATTAAAAACAACATATGATTATGCAAATAATAAATCATCGATATCAGTTTAGTATATTTCAATTTATCAAGATTGGTATTCAATTAATTATGAAAATTGTTCTCATATATCTTAAAAGATACCACAGGATAGAAGCCAGATAGCATGTTGGTTAATAATCTTTCTCCCCTAGATGCAGTATGTGGCGTGCTGAAACGCTCTTCTGGAGCCCTTTTTCCGGGTTCCTGAGAGCCTTCCGCCTGGGCACAGATTGCCTTGGCCAATCTGGAAGTCTTTAAATAGACTTCGAACTCAGGTTGGCCGTAGCAAGGACAGTATGTTCAGGTTTGGACTCTCGGAAAACCCAGACCTCGACTCTGTGTGTGGAGCAGTGCAATCCTTGGTTCATCTAGTGTCCTGTCCTGCCTACCCTTCCACCTATTCGCAGAAGGATTTGTTGGACGCCATTAATTGTGCAGTCGAAGTGGCTCAGTTCTTGGTCATCGACACACAAAGAAGCATCCTTCTCCAAATTGTAAGTTGTCGGGTTCACTTTTACCTTAAATACGGCGATAGGGCGAGGGTAAATAGGTCGAAAGCTAAACCCTATGCATATTAGTATAGATAGAGTTAGTTACTTTACAGTAGACTTAAAAATATTTTTGTTTTACTCCAGTAGGAGTGTTCAGATTCAAAATGACACACAAAGCGAGCAAAATATAATATAACCGTAACATTGCATCAAATGAAAATATAAAGGGACCATTTTTCTGAACAGCAACATTTCCACTACAAAGCTGATTAAAAAATCAGTTTTCATTGCGTGCGTTATTATGAAAAAGCGCTTTTGTTCCACGTACACGAGCGAATACTTTTTAACAGAATTAGCTGTCGACGGAGTGTAATTTCATGTGAATTTTTATCCCGCTCCGAACCAGCGGCTCTTAAAAAATGACTGCACCATCCAGTGAATCATTTACAGTTAACTAGAGTTTTTTAACCAATAAATTATGTAGATTTTGACTTTTAAAAATCTTGTTTTGCACACAATAACAGCTTTGAAGATCGACACTTAAAACCAAACAGTCTCCTAATTATCTTCTAACCTATGCGGGATTGGGCATCTAGTTAATGTTCGATAGACTTCCATCCTTTAATTGATTACTTTTCAAGCACTTAAACCCAAACATGTCAACTCATTCAGTCATTAATTATGCGCAAAGCAAAGGAATGTAACAATGTGCTGGTGTCTTTTCGTGCGAATGTAGCGTTGGAGCCTTAAAAGTGAAACTAATACACTGTTGTTGAGATAGTACTTTTACCATCTATAGCGGTATCGCCTCTTACTGGCCGGTTTCCAATAAAAATAAATAACCTATTTTGCAAAATTGACCTATATTTGAAATATTCGAACCATCTTACTAGACATCGTCCCGTAGCGCCTTAGGCGCTCTTCTCATTCATGACCTCATAATTAGCCTGACCCCTTTAGGTTTGCCAAGTTTAAGCCATTCCGCGACTGTCCCAGTTTCATTCGTCTCCAGACCTGCCGTTATACGCATGTCCCGAATCTGTGTAAAACTTGAAGGGTAATTTTTAGTGGTAAAAGATCTAATTCAAGATATGGACTATCGATTGAAAAGTTGTGTCGATTGAAAATGAAAAGTCCTTACTAACATTATAAATGCGAAAGTTTGTATGTATGGGTGGATTTTTGTTACTCTTTCACCCAAAAACTACTGAATAGATTTTAATATTAAACTTTACAATAATATAGCTTATACATCAGAATAACACATAGACTATAATTTATACAGACATTGTGTGAGTTGTCCAAAATATAGGTAATCATAAGTGTTAACTATCAAGCCATCAAGCCTGAATTTTTTCCTACTTAGTCATATTCTGGTGTATAATAAAAAACTCATTGCAAATTCTCTTCGCGGGCGAAGCCGCGGTTAACAGATAGTATAGTATAAAGTAAAGTAAGTAACAGCTTATACATGTCCCACTACTGGGCAAAGGCCTCCTCTGTACAGAGGGTATTAGGGCATAGTCCACCACGTGGCCCCACTGCGGATTAGCGGACTTCACATATCTTCGAAATATGTTTTTTATTATTATTTCAAAAATATGCAGGTTTCCTCACAATGTTTTCCTTCACCGTTGAGCACGTGATAATTCAGCACTTAAAATTAACAATTTCATTGGTGCTGGCACCAGGGATCGAACTCAGGTTTATTCCTCGATTATATTAAATTAAAGGCGAGCGCCCGGACACTGAGCTATCACTGATTATGGACGGAGAATCAAGTTTAACAAAACATAAACAACAAAATATTAAAAACATTCTCCCTCATATCTCAAAGAGAACGTATCTGCGACTGTTTGATTTAAATTAATGGCTTGCACGGTACAAACCATTTGGTATTTCGACCGGCTGTACAGACGTAGCCCCGGGCGCGTACCTAGTCGGCACAATAATGAATGATTTGACCTTGACTTGTTGTTAATAAACGAGCGCGATATTGTTTCAAGACGAATAACGACCGGAGTATGTTGATTGCCTTGCTGTCACTTCCTAAGGTGTGGTCAATCATTTCCGCGAGCGATACACAACTTCCGAGATCAATCGCTAACAAACCGAATCATTGCAAATTCTAAATACTTCTTAAACATGGTTATTGAGCAAGCCGGCTTAGTCACTGTAAGCTGGCACGCCACTTCACATCTTATTCTTTGCACTATAGACAATATCTCCGAATCACTGCTTTATTTCATACAAATAATTACAGTCAACCAGAAATAGTAAACAATAGAGCAGTAATAGTCAACCAATTAATATAAAGCGCCTTAGTCACCATGAATATTTTAATATGCCTACCAAACATAATCATCTTATTAATCATTTTTAACCCTACAAGAATTAGCCATGTTAATAATATCTCTATCGTTTAGTTATAGATAGTTTGCGAGATTGTCGCCAGAGTCGGTGGATGTAGAATTTTTTTTATAATTTGAAAAGTTGTTACGCGAACAGGCGCTTCACTTCATGTTAAGTAATTATTGCCTCCTTCATGGACAGCTACATCACCTGAGGGTTAGCAGATTCTTGACAAGTTTTAAAAAGTGCGCCCCGGTTACCTCACTCGCCAGACCAAACGTATAATACTTTCACTTCACGCTGGTCTTCTGTAAGGCCGTGGTACTTCTCCGCCTGCCCATTCGTGCAGCGTCGTTTTTCGCTCATACATTTTAATATCAAGGATAACTGATATTTAAAAAGACCTATGTCGGTTTTATTAAAACTTTGATTGTATAACTTTTTGTCTAATATAAAAACACTGTTTGGGCCGTTTGCTTTATATATAACCACCTTTTTGCTATAATTTATAAATCGAACCTTTCATCTATCACTTTTCTTCCTTTTTTCAATTTGACTTTATATTCAGACTTTGACTTCATACAAATTTCATTTTGTTCCCTTATCGAACAAACACCCATGCATTCTTCAAATATGTGTTTCAAATTAGTTGAGTATATACAAATAGGTAATGTATAAAATTACTATTAAATAATAAATATGCAATAGTGCGTTAACTAGCAAGTACAGTACTAAAATATACATATTGAAATGAATTTAGCAATGCTAAATTTATGTTAGGCGCCAGTTTTAATGCAAAGTGATAGTACACAGACATTTTAACGGCTGCCAAGTTTGGTTTTATAATTATAATGGCGTTTAATAAGCAAATTAAAACACGCAATGTGTTTAAATGTAAAAGGTAAAATCCACTAGTTTAAGCGAGTTGCGAAAAATATTTTGACACAATTTTCTCCATGGATTATTATTATTATTACTTTTAGAAAAATTTCATTCCAGCTTATGTCTTTTCGAGAATTACTGCCGAAAACAACTGCCGTGAGGATATGATATCCACATGGATAATTACCGTTACCACAGAATAATATTAAAACAGAAACATTAATTTAATTGAGAGATATGTACAATCTTTCTCATCACGCTTAGATTATATCAGTTACTTACTGGCTAGCGACGTAATGTCCTAGTCGGATTTAACACTTTTACTAATTTAGAGCATCCGAATTCTATTAAAACAAAACAGCAAAATTTACCTTTACAAATTTTACAACGATCCTAATAAATAATAAGAGACAACCATTTAACCAGTTTGTCCAGAAAAAGAACAACCTAAACGAAATTCATTACAATGAAAGCAGTCATGTGATGAAGTGTACTTGTTTAATGAAATCCAGGGCAAGGTCCCTGCGATTAAGGTAAGTTGCATTTAAACTGAGATGTGGAGCGGCTGATTGACAAAGCATTCAACATGTTTACGATAAACAACGATAGTAATAGAATTCCTGTGGTGAGATTGAAGTGTGGTTAAAAAATGTATTAACAAAACGTATCAATAACCAAATTTAATGTTTATGTAATGTGATCTTCGTAATCAACGTTTCGCACTGACAAAATCCCGTTTGTGACCTTTGTAGTTTTCACAAAAAAATTGTTTAGTGGAAAGTGAAGTTTTTTCCTTTAGGGCAAACGAGCTTAATAAACTTAAAATGAAGTATTAGACGTTGAAATCCATGTATAATAACCAGCTCTTATTGCCCCTGACCATCAAGGTGGTAGGTTAGGGTAGAGTCGGGTGGTCTGGTACTGTGATAGGTCCGTAAACTATGGTAGAGTCCCGCAACTGTCTTCGCTGTTATACGAATAGGCAGGTCCATGGTCCAGGGAGAAGTACCACGAGCTCACTGAAGAACGATGTGAAGTGGAAGCGTTGTACTTCTGCGTTTCTTCTGATACCGCCAATATCGATCCATTATTATTTATTTGTTAATTCCACCTACTTCTTCGAAATGCTACCAAATTATTATTATATAAAAAATCCGCAAAGCAAGTCAAACAACAATACTGCGATACCTACAATGAGAAGTATGCACTGGGCGCATACTTTCTGGTTTTATCTTTCTTTTATCGTCTTTTTCCATTATGAATAAGGTGATTCCAGCTACCACGCTGCTTCATAATAGACTAACAGACCATATATTTAAGTCTCTTATAATGCTTTTCGTCAAATATCAGCACATAGTTTATCACCATGCACTTGATCATTATCACTAGTGCAAATAAACTTGGATTATTATAGTGAAGTAAATTAAAACGAACTCCCGCACACTGTACTAACACGGCCCTCTGCCGTCTGTCGCTTGTTATCGATTGTACGCAAAGCACGTGATACGTATATTCAGGTCAAGCGGGAGCCGAATTCATGCATGAGGTAACTTTTCTTGCAACATGACAACTCCTTCGTCCATCTCTAATTTTTATTACGCTTTAAATACTGTGCAATATATTAACCATGAAATTTAAATATATGCATTCTAGAATATGGGGTGAATAAAATCTTTAAGTTTTCTTTGATGTACTAAATTGCAGAACTTTAATATATAGGTACTAGATTGCAAACCAAATACTTGACTTGCATAGTGTTTAAAGTCTGATAAAGCAAGGGAAATCAAATCTGGTTCACGGTCAATAAAATTCAGAAATGTGCAACAATTTAGAAAATATGATTCAAGGAAATGGATTTATTAGGGTGTTGTAAAGGCAATTAATTCAAAGTTTATCCCGAGAAAAATAAAAACTTTAAATATAACTATAACCACCACTCTATGATGTGATTTTTATGTAATAATAGAAAAATAACAATAGTTATGCGAGATCAACTCACGGCTAGAGAATTAAAATTTCAAGACATGCTGATTCTTTTTTTTTTGCTTTTCTATATTGCAGTCACGTAGAATTACGCTGCATCCTTTTAAATTCATACAACGCAGCTTTTACAATGTGTTAACAAACACAAAAACTATTGTGTCCCGGTTCTGGTACAATTTTGAAAATCTTTTGTGACTTACAAACCATAAAATATATTTAACGACATAAAATTATGAAAGGAAAATTTTGGACCAAAGGTATTTTTTTGTACTGTTCTCTTTTCTATTTTTTAGATTAAACTGTATTAATTCTTTATAACAGAAATCTTAAACAGCCAACATGGTCGTAATCATAATAGGATGAATGCAAACCTCAAATGATATTTCAATGCAATAATCATTAATAAAAATTTATACTCTCACAATCTTAAAACCTAGTAATTAAACACTGCATAAACTGAATATCTCAAACGACTGAGTTGTAAAATGTTCGCGGGAAAGTTTTTTGAAATACTAAATCTAAACATTTTTAAAATATGCTATTACTGAAAAATAATATCATATAAAACATATTTGAGACTGCGAATATGAATTTTTACTTACGTGATTACTTTGTTATTAAGACTGTTCACTTATTTATTTCGTTTACAATTCTAACAGTAATGCCCCAGCCAGGCGAGCAACATTATGAACCCGTATGATTTGTTTTTGATTTTTTTGGTGATTCTAATATTTTTTTGCCTAACATAGATTTTTACAGGACTTAGATGTATGCACATTGGCAAAAATTTGTAATCACACTGGCTCTCCGGAATGTGGGAAGGAGAAGAATGATTTAGATAAGAGAATATTTTTAGATCAATGTGATAGGTTTGAATTTAACTGTGACTACAATAAAGGTAATTATGTACATTTTACACCATTTAATATAATTCAAAAGGTGGTGATTATTGAAACAAATTGTTTATACTTAAGTTATGCATTTAATGTTTAAAATATTATTTCCACAGAGTCTTCAAAATACAAATGGATATATGCATACCATAGCTGTAGCTAAAAAATATTTCTAGTAAATGAAATAAAGTTCCAAGAATCGAATTTTTGACCACTCTAGACCGTTTTATCAACCTCTTTTTCAGTTAATTTAAAAAATATTTGTTATTAATGTTGAAGTTATTGAGGATGTTGTTTAAATGATTTGACATAAAAAAAATCTTGGTTCTTTACAGATTACATTAACATACCATATGATGAATGTAAACAAGATACTGAGGAGCGATCAATTAATAACTTGTCCACAAAGGAGATATTTACTACGTCTGAACTCCTAAACACGACCGAAAGTAATTTCGAACGCCAATCGTCGAAGGCACCTCATTCTGATTACCCTTCGAAGACGAATCGACTGAAGATTCCAACTCAAGAGTTCATATGTCAACTACAGTTATTGAAGAAACCACAGAACATGAAGAAAAAATTATAGATCGTTGCACATGTCAGACTACAAGTAATAAGTTCCTTACGACTGGAAGTCAAACTATTACATCTGTCACCGAAACGGCCATCATAAATGAAAATACCAGCACATTCACAACTGAAACAAACGGGGATATATCAAAACTAAATTCTAATGAAAACAAAACGACTCCATTATACGAAATATTTGATACGTCCACTACAGAAGAAGCTACAAACAAACCCCTACTAAACGTCACGTTCGATGGAAAATGTACACGCCTAAGAAATAGTACCAACACTGTTATTAATAGTACTAACACCGCGCAAAACAGAACCCAGTCTACGCTTACAACAACTCTATCAACTGCATTGACCGTCACGAATCGTCATACAATGACAACAACACTTTTTATAGACACGACAAATTACTTATCTTTAAACAGAAGCGTACCTACATCGACAACGGAAAAAAGTAGCGCAGAAACAAACACTGATCTTTCCAAACAAAATGAAGTTACTGATAATGCAATGACAACGACTCAAATGAAGTCTAAAGACGTAGCGTATACCTCACCTTGCGCCACAACTTACCCAAAAAATTGCAATAGACCATTCTCTTGGGAAACTACTATTAAGGGTGAAACAAGAGATTTACTGCAGATATTAAGAGCTCGTTACGGGGATAAGTTTAAAACATTAAAGGGTACAACACACTGGCCCAGACGGTTGAATTATTTTGATAGAATAAACTACAACTTTTTCCTCAGTCGTCATAATGAAAGTTAAACATCAAAAAAAATTCCTTTAAGACTTTGACTATTTTAGCAAACAACAGCTACTGGCCAAAGTTAGATCGCAAGCATATTAATAAAAGTGTGAATATAATAATCTAAATTTATTATACCATTTATATAACCACTTCTACGTTCGGGTATAAACAACAAAATTACTATACAGTCTATACAGTCAGTGGCTATACAGTCATTTTCAATGTCATAAAAGCAAATTATCTTTAGTTTCGAAGAATTTTTCTTATACTTAAAAAGCCAATGATTCGACTGTTTTACGTCACAATTTGGTACCATAACTAAATCTTTTCAAAGAAAAACTAAAAGGGATAAATAACTTATCTTTTATAGATACGTCAGATCACAATTTCAATTTTAGAGGACTTTTATCGGATGAAATCATTTAATGTCATATACCTAAATACTAAAACGCTCAAATCATTTAGCGAACTTAACTTACTTTTCAAACAGTGCCTCAAGTACTGCTATCGATTTTAGAAGGGTGTAACTTCAACTTCACATGCTCTCCAGAAACACCTGATGAAACTTCACGTAGTGCAAAATAACTTCTTCGAGAAAGCCGACTAACATTCCAATCATTTCATTGTAAACTCAACAAATTACCAACCAGAGCCTAACGTGACCCTTCGCAAACGCCACCCGCCTCTTCCTCGACCCGGTCTTAGAAGGGAACGAAATTAAGATGGAAACACTAGGGCTCACCGGACAAAAGCACTACAGACACATGTAGAGTTAACTTACAACAATGCATTTCATCCTCGCCTATAAACACGACAAACCTAACAAGGTTGTAAACGAATAACACCATCAATGATGATAAACCTGATGTCAATCCCTCTACTAAGACTCTGCTTAGGTAGGTATTATACGTGTGACAGTTGCCGGGGCCCACTTTTTCAGAACATGGCATCGCATTTATTACTCCAAAATGTTTTAGATGTCCATGGGTGGCGATAAACACTAAATATCAGATGTGTTTCACGTAAACACAAAAAAATATAGTACTAGTAGTAGTAAAGTATACCAAAAAAAACAGCCAAGTGCGAGTAGGACTCGCGCACGAAGGGTTTCTTACCGTTATCAATAAAAACGGCAAAAAAAATTATGCCTGTTGTATGGCAGCCCCAATTAAATATTTTTTATATATTTTTATGGCTGTAGCATGCCTTTTCACATATGAAAAAACAAAACCTTAGTAGTTTTCAAAGATTCAAATAAGTTAACTATTTGTTATATTGCACTTTAACGCATTTATATAACGTCTCATATGTACCTGAAGTAACACTACGTTCCCTTATTAGGCATACTCCTCATAACACGATAGTCCCCTGCATATAACAATTGGATAGTGCCCTACGCTTAGGTTGCCAACCATACTTTATAAAAACGCATCCTACTTTATTTTTGGTAAAGATACTTTATACTTATGCATAAAAATAAAGTATGTGAAAATACTCTATTTTCTGTCTTTACTGTGATCCATAAAATAAAACACTTACAATGTATGTACCTATATGGATAATTACTGTATTTTATCGATACTTCTAACTTGAAAAAGAACACTTTCAACTTAGCAGCTTTTTCTGTTAATTATATTATATGATTTAAGAAAAATACTTTTATCCAAAGTTAATTAGTAATTTGTCACTTGATATATTTTTAAACCTAGAATCTTTGTGGGAAGAGTGTGTGTGTTTCATTATTTATTTTCCTAGATCTTCATTTAAATAAAAAGTTACTTTTATTTAAATTTAAATTGGGTATATAGCTTCTAATATAAGTAAGTATACTTCTAATATTTCTAATATAAATAAGTATACTTAAATTTAATTTAAGTATGAAAAAGTGCGAGTGTGTGCTAGAAGTATACAAAAATAGACCTTCAAGAGGAGAAATAAACACAATTTTGCTTTTTTTTTCTTCGTTATACTTTTTTTTATCTATTTGATACATGTGATACTTTATTTTTCTTAAATACAGTTGGCAACCCTACCTACGCTATTCTTTTTCTAAGTAAATATATATAAAATATTAATTTATCCTTTACAATTTGCTTGTAAAGATGTACTTATTTTATCCACTGAGGGTTTACCGCGTCGTGTCGCTGTAATAATGAAGCTTTTAAGGTCAATACTTAGTTTGTCCTTGACATGAAGAAACATAGGTATGTAAGGAAACACGTGTAACAGTTGGCTTTGTGGAAACGTTTTAGCTGTACTTACGACGTCATTAATAATTTGATAAGATTAATACGTATAACCTCGTAACATGTCGTTCTTCCAGTAATGAAGATCAAAGGTTAATAACGTGAATAATTTTATATGTTTTGTTTCTGTTTTTTTAAGTTTCAAGTAACGTTTTTTTTAACGTTTCGCAAGGCATATTTTATATTTTTATATATCTACAGGGAATTTAAAAATTTTCATATTAGACATTACTGGCTAAATTGAAGCACAGCTGATACGATAAATTCTTAAAGTAATTAAATACACATGGACTATCTATCTTATTTAAGAAAGTGAAGACCAGTTTTCACGAAGATTAAAAACACTGAAGATAAACACTCAACACTAGTAACAATAGTAACTAATAACCCAATGTTCCTAATTGGATTGTAAGCCCTTGGCACTCGCCAAACTCTCTCGCGGGTAGGTCAATTTAAGTGTGATAAATTATTCCGACGTATCATCCAATCAATAAATTAATTACTAATCTAAAAGGACTCACAGCTCTTAACTCAAAACCCTTACATTCTAACGAAAGATTACTCATAGTTGTTGCTAACCCTCATCACTACTAAGTTATTATAAATGATCCATTAAAATTTTTCCACACGTACAGAAGAATTATAGTACAGTAACGTAAAGTAACAGTCTATTCGTGTCCCACAGCTGGGCAAAGGTATCCTCTGTACGGAGGGTATTAGGACGTAGACCACGCGACCCCACCGCGGATTTGCAGACTTTACATTACAAAAACGTTTTGATAGGAGAACTGCATTTCCCACTGGCTACTTGTACTAAAGTATAATTTATTTTAAGAAGTGCTAAAAATTAAAAAAAAAATACAACAACTTTCTTTTCAGTTTTACTTCTGGACTATTCCCAATTATGAATATGGCTTAGACATAGATGTTTATAACAGCTTGATCTTTCCAAAGTGAAAAAAATTAAGTTACAACTTTGTCGTTAGTCTGTTCACTCTTGCCTTAATGACTACGCACATAACAATCCAGAGCTTTTCTCCCCGAGTCACTTTCTCTGTTTTTCGTGTATTAATTAGTAAGAAGTCCAACTATTTAATAATTTCTTGTATTTACGCGATTACACATTATAAATGAAACTAATTTTACGGATTTATCGCGTTTATTTTTAATTTTAGTTCCCGACATTTCGAACCCTTTACAGCGTTCATGGTCACGGGACAGACTGAGGTGTTAGACGTCTGGTTGTCAAAGTTAACCCGGGCTACCGTCAGTTTTTGTATTATTGATTTTGTGTCCGATCTATGCAGAGGGAGCTAATTGTATCTTGTCTTGCAGTAGTGGTTCTTTTGGGCTTAGATTTAATTTTATTGATGATAGGATCCCATGCTGATGGTAGTACCGAACCCTCTTCTCTATTGAAATTAGGGTGTTTTTTAATTTCAATAGCCTCACGAATCATCCTCGGGAGGAATCGGTGTTCTTTTGCAAGGATCTGTGGTCTATCAAACCTGATGTAGTGGTTGGGCCGATTTAGAGTGTGCTCACAAACTGCAGACTTGTTTAATCTACTATGTTTTATGTCAGCTTTATGTTCTTTCACGCGGGTTTTTCGAAGTTTTCGCGGGTTTGTTTTTTTGTTCGAAGTTCGGTACCGAAGTCTAACCTCCCCAAAGATGAATTTAACGCGTTAAACAGCTTACGCAACAACAAAGATTTAACTGTTCTCCGCGCAGATAAAGGAAATGCTACGGTGGTTATGAAAACGTCGGATTATAATTTGAAAATACAAGAACTGTTGTCGGATGTAAGCACGTATAAAAAGGTCAAAACAGACCCAACCACTAAAACGCTTAAATTAACTAGCGATCTCATTAAAAAATACTCCGAAAAATTAAATCTAGACGTGAAATCGATGACACCTTCATGTGCTAAACCCCCTAAATTGTATGGGTTGCCTAAAGTACACAAACCAGACTTGCCATTACGCCCTATTGTAAGCCAGATCGACTCACCAACTTACAGACTGGCTCAACATCTAGTACAAATTCTCTCACCGCTGAGAGGACACACACGGGCATACACAAAGGATTCTTACCATTTTGTTAGTGAGATAAAACAACTATGTCTTGCTGACAATGAAACAATGGTCAGTTTTGATGTACAGTCTTTATTTACATGCCTGCCATTACAAGACTGCATCTCAATTGTAACAAGGAAGCTAAAAGAGAATAACATGCCGGAAGAGTATGCATTACTACTTAAACATTGCCTTACATCTGGCTATTTGCTTTGGAAGGAGGAATTTTACATACAGATAGATGGTGTAGCAATGGGCTGCCCAGTATCTCCCATTGTCGCTGACATATTTATGGAAGACTTTGAGAAGAAGGCCCTTCGCACAGCTCCCATTTATCCAAGGTTTTATAAGAGGTATGTAGATGACTCCTTCACCATTTTACCAACAAGTAAAGTTAATGCATTTTTAAATCACCTTAACTCAGTAAATTCCAAAATACAATTCACTATGGAATTAGAGAATAATAACTCTTTAGCTTTCTTAGATGTTTTGGTCATCCGCAATCCAAACAACACTATAACTCACACTGTGTATAGGAAGGCAACCCATACAAATAGATACCTAAACGGTGACTCTCACCACCATCCATCCCAGTTAGCTACCGTGGGTAAATCTTTGTTTCAGAGAGCACAAGGGATCTGTGACAAACAACACCTGGCCGCTGAGCTTCAACATGTCAAGCAAGTTCTGCATGACAACAAACTTCGAGCACCGCGCCTACGTCACAGTGACCGAGTGAAACCAGCCACAGTGGAGCGAGTACCTGCTGTTCTACCATATGTCAGAGGAGTCACCGACAAGATTGGCTATATCTTAAAGCGGGCTTCAATTAATACATTCTACAAGCCGCTGAAGAAGATTAGTCAGTTTTTACCATCTGTCAAGTGTAATATCCCTCTGCAAGATCCAGGAGTGTACAAACTTGACTATGAATGTGGGCTCTCTTACATAGGACAAACGAAAAGAGCTATAAAAACCCGCGTGAAAGAACATAGAGCTGACATAAAACATAGTAGATTAAACAAGTCTGCAGTTTGTGAGCACACTCTAAATCGGCCCAACCACTACATCAGGTTTGATAGACCACAGATCCTTGCAAAAGAACACCGATTCCTCCCGAGGATGATTCGCGAGGCTATTGAAATTAAAAAATACCCTAATTTCAATAGAGAAGAGGGTTGGGTACTACCATCTGCTTGGGATCCTATCATCAATAAAATTAAATCTAAGCCCAAAAGAACCACTACTGCAAGACAAGATACAATTAGCTCCCTCTGCATAGATCGGACACAAAATCAATAATACAAAAACTGACGGTAGCCCGGGTTAACTTTGACAATCAGACGTCTAACACCTCAGTCTGTCCCGTGATCATGAACGCTGTAAAGGGTTCGAAACGTCGGGAACTAAAATTAAAAATAAACGCGATAAATCCGTAAAATTAGTTTCATTTATAAAGTCCAACTATTGCAAAATGCTATGTTCATTTTACCCATGCAATGAGTTCCTTCGTTTACATTACTACTAGCGGTCAAAGGGAATTAACTAATCAAATATAATAAAAAAACTACTTGTTTTTTATTATACACCAGAATATCTCGCACATGGCTTTTTCCTACTTAAAAAAAGTATCAGCCTATACATGTCCCACTACTGGGCAAAGGCCTCCTTCTGTACAAAGGGTATCAGGGCATAGTCCACCAAGCGGCCCCACTGCGGATTGGCGGACTTGACATATCTTCGAAATATTTTTTATTTTAAATATTATTTCGAAAATATGCAGGTTTCCTCACGATGTTTTCCTTCGCCGCTGAACACGTGATAATTCGGCACTTAAAATTAACAAATTCATTGGTGCAGGCACCTGGGATCGAAATCAGGTTCGAGTATATTAAATGAAAGGCGAGCGCCCAGACACTGAGCTATCACGGCTTCTACTTAGTTGACACATCATTATTACCTATATTTTGACACCTATATTTATTACCTATATTTTGGACAATTTACACACTGTCTTTATAAATTATAGCCTATGTGTTATTCTGATGTATAAGCTATAAGTATTGTAAAGTCTCATTAAAATTTATTCAGTAGTTTTTGCGTGAAAGAGTAACAAACATTCATCCATACATACAAACTTTCGCGTTTATAATATTTTTAAGGATATACGCATCAATACCTAAGCCAAGTCAATTCAGTGCGGACTTCGATGAGTTTGTCCATATTGATATTGGTAAAACGCTTTTAAAAGCATATAAACGTTTTGACATTATGGTAAAGTGGCAAAATATGCGGAAGAGTCGTCGGAAGTCCGATTTCAAAGCAATGTATACGATAGTTCCGACGGCGAGGTTAACAGGTTCCGTTTACTGACGCCATTGCCGCTCGACATTTCTCCCATCTTAATATTAATACGAGTATTATATTTGATTATTTGATTTCTCAACAATGAAAGATAGACGATGGAATTAAATTTCATTTTTATTACTCAAACGATAAATTCAAAATTTCAACTAAATTTTGAATACAAGTGGTCAATGAAAGTGGCCTAGAGGTTAAAGACCCCGAGGTCTCGGACTCAAATACCAATCAAGACCAAGGTTCGATCGTTACACATCGTTTCGTATGTCTTATAGATATTTTTTATTCTCGTTTGTAATCCATCCTCCATGAATGGTAAATTTTATATTTTAGCTATTAGTTAATACACGTAACTAAGTATAAATATACAATCATAATAATTCTAAAGTGGATGAAATCAAATAAAGTTTATTGTTTTACTAACTGATACGCCAGCTCAAAATACTATAAGTACATTAAGAACAAAAGAAAACAAAATTCACTGAAATGTATTTTAACATAAATATTGTTTTTAGATATTCGGTATATATATAAAATTTGTGTGTCCACTGGTACACGTGAATTGTTGTTTTTCGACATGAACAATTTAAACGTAAAGCCAAATACGATTATTATACTAAGTTAAGGATCATGTTCATCGTGAACATGTACTTTTTAGCTTAAATCAAGCATATATTGAATAAAGAAATTTTGACTATGACTTTAACTTTGAACATCATTTTAGTTTGTTAGAGTACACTGCTGAACATAGGCCTCCCCCACAGACCAGCCACGAAGCACGATCCTGAGCCACCAGCATCCACCTATTTCCCGCACATTTGCACAGGACGTCACTGCATCTAAGGGTCATCCAACATTACGAAGGCCTATACTCTAGAAACTTATCCGGTATTTTTCTGCGTGATAGAATTCGAAAGGTTTATGTTGTTTGTAAAGAAACAAAAAAATATAAGAAACCTATATAAATATAAAACTAATTTAAAATAAGTGATGATTTATAATAATCTCCGTTTTCCATATGGTCGTAGGGTCAGTCAGCCTTTCGTACTTTTCTCCTCTACTTCTAGTTTCTTTTTTCTAGTTTTCGACATCGTACCTGTAACTCATCCAACCTTGTCTTTTAAGCGTGCTTCTGAGTCTTCGTCCGAGGCGAAACCGCCTATTTCGTATTCCGGCGCGTAGTCCGGCGAAACCGCCTATTGCCAAATAACCGAGCTATTTTGACGGACACTTTTTTCTTCTTTTTTTCTCTTTTTACATTTATTTGGTCTAGTTGGTTTTCATAGGGTCGCGTCACCGAAATGCTATGTTACTTGTTTTGATATTGACTTTAAAATTATTATATCCTTTGATTTTAATCTTTGTGAATCAATTTTTTAGTTAGATCGTATTTTTGTTGCACATTTTAAAATTAAAATTCTATAAAATGTTATAAAAAATTTTGTTACTTGCCAAATGTCATGCTTATTGTCATTAAATTTATTGCTTATTGGTTAATATTTTCAGAAAGAAAGTAGGTAATTTGATATTTAAATTAGTGTTTTAATGTTTGTAATTTTTTAATTATTCATACCATTATTAATTTAAAACAAAAAATAAAACATTTGTTCCAGTTGAGTTTTCACGTGTATCGGCAGTCTCCATGATTGCTTATTTTCTTTAATACCATCGCAGCCCATCCTCAATACTGAGGCGCACAACAAACCACCTCAACGGTTCTAGTTGCGGTTTTTATCTTTAAACCGCACGTACAACTCAACATCATCTTATCGGCATGGATAGTATGCAGGTTCTTTAGAGTCATGGCCCAAGTTTCGGTAGCGTACATAAAGACTGGCCTCATAACACTTGTATCTTGATTAACTGATGTTTTTGCTTTCAGTCGCGAGACTATTACAGCTTCATCTGATGCAGAACCGGTAGGCTAGCCAGAACCCACAGGTTTGGGCCCTACGCTGTGGGTACAGCCGGGCATATGTACTCATGCGTGCGTTAATTATGGTCCTCAAATTACACGGGCATCCTATAGCGAGAAACATCAGTTCATCATATTCGTTACGCAGCGACTACTTGGGTGTTGTATGCCGCTTTCCAAATTCTCAGAGTCGTGTATTGTATCATTGAGATATCACACTACACCACAATTTGTCCGAAGATGGTAATCGGTGGAAATTGCTTTGGATGATTAAAAGGTAAGTAGTGGTTCTCGATAACAATTAGGAACACATTTCTGCAACTGGTGTGTCTAAATGATGATATAATAATGAATATTAAAAATTATGAGTTTGTACTTTATCCGTTTTTGACGTTTTTATTACGCACATAAGTTTTTTCGTTTAAAACAATATTTTGTTCGGAATTACTTAGAAATGTATTTGATTGTTGAACTTAAAAGTGGCACACCTTCCATTCAACAGTTAAAATTATGTCAAAATCCTCGAGAAGACTTAGAATTAAGAAATCAAGGGCTGCGAAAGACATTGATGTTTTTTTTTTTCTATATTACAAGCCCAGGTTGCTTAGAACACCATTCTATTCTTATTAACATGTTGTGAATATTGGTATTATTGTTTAATAATATTAGACCCAATTAGATGTCAGTTGTCGACACAGTCTTGTCTATATCATTACGTAACACCTTCCCCCTTCAACCTCCCACGTACCCGAGGAATTGATTTTTGTTCCCACAAAAGTGTTCAAATACGCATGCGCCAAAAGCTTTACTCATACACCCACAAAACCAAGCCTCACACATGCGTACTAACGACACGACTAGCTAAGGGAAATCAAGCTTTATTACTCTACGATTAGGTCCGTATTCGGACTGTGTTATGTCATATTATTTTTAGACCAATCGTACCTATTATAGAAAATACTGACGCGCCCTCTACCATACACGTCGGGAAACCTATTCGCGGAAGGTTTTCTCCTCCGACTGTATTCTGTGAAAATCCGTACCTTTTAATACTTGCCGACGTTTCTCCGAACCATTTCGCATCAAAAACCGGGGCGGCGTCAGCGGGCGTCTATTCCGTTAAAGAAAAACGTTACCTTTTGTTCGTGAAAGACCCGACTAAAAATAGATCACCGGCCGATACTTGTTGGGGAATCGAGTGAGCTGCCCATTCATAAAGTACATTCATTTGGTGTACAGCCGTGGTGGTACATAGGTCGGGAGAGGCTACACCGTTCCCAGTGAATGAACTGCTGTTTAGAGAATTCCAGACGTCTGTGAACGTCAATCGATAAGCGCCAGTTCAGTTTTCAACGGCGTACGGCGCAAGCAGACTATCGGAGAAAATGTGAGTCCATTTTTATTTTCCCTTATATGTTTCGCAATCGTGCGAAAAGTTTATTGACATAATTCGAACAGCCTGAGTGACGAATTTATTCATTATTATTACTTCTCTATAATTTTATCCGTTACTTAATGGTTCAATCGATAACGATACGACATGTGTATAAATTCAGCTGTTAGTTATAACCTACATCTTTTCATTTTTTATAGTATTTTATATTCTACATCTTATTAAAAATTTAAAGATGTTTAACTTTTTCTCATAAACAAAATGTGTAGAAATTAATATATAATACCCTATTTGCTAAACGATTGCGAAGCATCAAAGTTGCCTTGACCTCGTTGACGCCTGTTGAAGTTTTGCCTAGACCTTACGCTGTACTTTTAGGTTATTTTTGTGTCTATCACTTAGTATAGAAAAAAAATCACAAAAAATGAAACAAAGCTTAGCAAAATAGTTAGTGGATCCTTGCTGCAAATTGCACAACATAATATTTCAATTAAGATATTTGATACTTAGAGAAGTTGTACAAAATACCCAATGTTGAAATTAACTTTTGACAATGCAATCTTAAAGGTGGCGTAGTCTTAGCAAGGCGCAAGTTAGTATTGATTTTACGGAGGGGTCACCGCACTAAATGCACAATAAACTTGCCACGTGAATGTATGCCTTGCGACCTATGCCGTATGAGTTTAATGACGTCATAAGTATACAGCTTTTCTTAGATCCTGCCATCTGAAGCCTCCTAGGTAATACGCAGTGAAAATAAGCAGCTTAGACAATTTGCATATAGAAAAAACGTCTTAAATTTCCACAATTAAGTCTTATTTTAAACCATATTTGGGACTAAATTTCGCACCGATTTGCTACAGATAGTCCAATGTTAGAAATGGATATATCAATCTATATTTTAGCAAGTTATTCTAAGGTTGCACGAAATAATATTAAGAACTAGCTGACTCGGCAAACGTTGTTTTGCCATATAAATTATTTCTAGAGGAATCGGAACGCTGGCATAGTGTTTGACAGGTTACACAGACATAGTTGACAGGTACAGTTTGTATGGGAAAATAAAATTGTTGCAATTTTTCCATAATTTCTCATCGTTTAAACCTTCCCTGGGCTGCCACAAATATTTCAAAACCAAAATTAGCCAAATCGGTCCAGCCGTTCTCGAGTTTTAGCGAGACTAACGAACAGCAATCCATTTTTATATATAAGATAAATATTTCGGTATATATTTTTACACAACAATATAATTATAGAGCCAACTTAGCAAATTTTGTATTATGGGTACTAGTTAACAGAAAAGCTTTTCATTAGTAAATAAATACATATTATAGATATATAAACACCCGGACATCAGAAAACCACTATGTTCGTTGCACAATACAAAAACCAGTTGGGGAACGAACCTGAACCCTCTGTCGCCACAGAAAGCTTCACTATCCGTTATGCCAATCGGTTGGTCATCCATGAAATATGTTCTAACATATTCTTAATTATGTTAATCTTAATATAATTATAATCTTATAATTATATTAAGATCAAGTCAGATCTAAGTTTTGAATTTGGATTTTGTAACCATAGCGTTAATAAAAATAAACGAATTAACGTGAATTGAGAGGGTATTCATATCTGTTGATCTGAAAAATTTTCCTAAATAGGCAGAAAAAAATCATTTATGAAACTTAATAAATTTTATCTTGATTCAATAATAATTATACATTATTATTTTAAATATTGGATTAATTACACTTTATAGCTAAAAATAACATTAGTAACATAATTTTAAAAGTCATACAAAGTAAAATAAAATTTGCTACAATAATATTTTTTAAAACGCTTTAATATTTGTGATTGTTTATTTTTATTTATTCAAATTTTTTATTTTATTCAAATGACAGCATCCCAAAAACTTAAAAATTATTTCACTCACATGTAAGTTATTCTGACATCTTCAATCACCAAAATAACTTACATATTTTCTTAACAACCCGGCTTACATCGTAAGAGCTAAACATTAAGGTAAAAATTAATCTTCAAAAAATATTTTTGTTATCATTTCGAACTTATGCAGGCTGAGCTCGTGATAGTAATTCAAACCTTAAAATCGTCAATTTTTTTAGTCCCGGCACCGTGATTTGAACTTAGATTGCACGCGTCCGGACACTAAGCAATCGCGGCTCTTAATTATATCTAGTTAAATAATAAAAAAGATTAGAATTTATGGTAGTTATTGTAATACGCCTCGCGGAGCAGTTTCTCACTGTAACGAAAATTCCCATCGACAATATGGTTTCACTACTACCAGATAATATTAATAATAGGTTTTATGCTTGCCCGTACTAGCCCTAATGAGATATGAAACTGACGTAACACAGTACCGCAAACCAGAAAACCCACAATAAGTGGCTTGATAATGGTTAACAAATTTTAATACATTTAATTGAAATGTATCCATTATCTTGATCATATGTAACTAAATAATTCTCATTTTTTATTGATTTCAATACGTACTAAAGCAATAAACATTGACACAAAGGTAGATATACAAAAATAATCTGAATATCGTTTCATGTGGTCTACATATTATTTTAAAGTCTATCCCACCGTGACCACCAATGCCATTAATCAATATATAAAATCAATGCCATATACAGCGTGTCTTTACAATCGCGACAATAAATGAACACTAAAGAATTAAATATTTACATTCTTTAAACATCAATGTTTATCGAGAAATCAAATTTTCCAAAACAAAGAATTTTAGGACATCCTTACGTATAAAACTGTAACGTAAGGTTCATTTCTAAAGGTCACAAAGCATATGAATGGGTAGAATGAATTTAAAAGAGACAAAACATACTGTTAGAAGGAGAGGCTTGTAATGCGACGCTGTGGCAACGAATGAAAAAGTCTCTGAATGTATGAATCAGTAAGTTGTAGTTGTATAGGATGTTACAAATTTTGTTTCTATTTTACTTAATTAGTGTGTTTGAAAAATATTTTTTTGTAACTATGGATTTTTTTAACGTTAATATTTTTTGTGATTATTGGCAAGTAGCGTTAGACGTGTGTTCATTTATTGTCGCGGGTGTAAAGACACGCTGTATATGTACCTATATTTTACTTTTTTAGAAACAAAAATACTTTTATAGAAAAACACTAATTTGACGTTTCTCGCGACACAATTCACAGCATCTTTTGAGCTTCCGAGCCGTGAACTATAAAGAAGAACCTTGTGAAGGGGAAATGAGAATTTTGGTTTTAATCTGAAAAACTTAGAATATTTTATTCTAGGTTTTTCAGATTGCCATTTATTTCACATTGCCTTTATATGAATACGAATGTAAATAAAAAAACCATTTTGTTATTCTAGGAGCGAATACATAACCAGATCAACACCTGCCGATGTACCAGTAAATGGGAAAATTAATCATGAATATACACGTTTTTTTAAATTAATGAAGCTACAATACTTTACATGTACTTTGATACCATAAAATATGCCTTTATATTAAAGTTTATGTTTCATGTTAATGAGTGAAGCCTCTAAATTAGCTACAATGGTGTAAGGGCCTTATGGCGATAAATCTATATTTTTAAGACTATTGATTATTTATTATGTCCGACCCGATCTTTATCTGTTAACTTTCGTGAAAATACAGATATTATTATGCAATATTTCGCATTTTTTTTTTTGTCTGAAATGCACGGACCTATTATCAGTTTAAGAACATAATAACCCAGTAATTGTAAGAAACCGCTTGAGTTCGCTAATGAACAACTCTCTACAGTAAACTATACACAATGTAATGAAATTCCATTTTCGCTTTATTATAGCGCACATACAAAGAACTACCATTTTACTCGGCTGTTGCCTTTAAAATCGTATTAATTCAAGAGAAAAAAGCCCTTTGGCTTCGTTGCAATTTCTGTGCAAATTTGACTTCGGTGCACAAACAGATTATAATTGCAAAGGGGTGAAAACAACTTCAGGAGCACTCGAAAAATTCAACTTAAGAGGGCACTCAAATACAACGACTCAGAATTAAGTAAGGCAAGTAAATGAAAAAGAAACTTCATAACATTTTTGTCAAACGTAAATGATTTGTTATTTGTAATGGTCGATGTTATACCATTAGTCCGGAAATTTTTTTGAGTCGCAACCCGTGAAAAAGTCCAAAAAGTAATAAGACTAGTAGAATTGCACATGTGAATGTCAAATGTAAAATGTAAGGAAAACAAATATAATGAAAGATAATCGTTAATTCGATTTCCATGAAAGTCTCTAAGGGCTACCTACTACCATAGCATAAGAACTTGAATCTTAATTATTTTATGGCATTAATTTCATGAATATAATGCGGCAATGAAAGAAAAATGTTATGAAAATACCATGATAGAGAATATTCTTATTCATTATATTTATTTGCTTTCATTTAAATCGTAAATATAAATATAAATATAAACATAATAAAGTGTGAATAAAGTTTCTATTTGCAAACGGTTTTTGACGAAACTCATGATTAACACATTCATTTTTAAATGATTAAATATGAAAAACAGGAGATAAGAAGAGAGCCTACTCCTATTTCAAAGAATGTCGTTACTCTTCTGATGTGTGTCCGTGGGCGGCGGCACTAGCTTACCGTTTATTCGTTATCTCGTTTGCCTCTTTTTTCATAAAAAATCTTTTCAGTATTAAATATGCAAAGTTTTGTATTTACATTACATTTCTATGCGGATTAATTAAAACGACAACTTTAACCACTTAGCGTTTGGTGCCAATTTTTAAGTGCAACAGTATTTGGCAAACTGCCGTGAAGCGTACCTACCTTCTACTTTTAATGGCCACGCCAGGCGTACTTGTAGCACTCTCGGCGGAAAATTCTAGATATATTCAACATGTGTTGCACTGATTTTCGTGACCTTAATAAAACTGTTGCTCATAATTTTCTTTAACAAGAAATCTAACTTTTGCAAAGGTGGCTAAAGTT